GTGCGCTCTCATAGAGTCGGCCTCCTTAGGGTGCCGTCGGCCAAACGATGTCGGCTGATGGCCCCAGGAGGAGAGCATTCTCTGTGGGAGCCCCGACCCTCTGGAATGGATTGCCCACCGAGTTCAGGACAGCACCCGACCTTCTTTCCTTCCGTCGCGAGCTGAAGACGTGGCTCTTCTGTCAACTCAACTGATCCGTTTGGGGGTATACTGTCATAATTTTAAACTGTTTTAATAGGGTTGCTGATTTTAATTTTATTTCATTGTGATTTGTATTGGAATTTGTCATTTTGTAAACCGCCTTGAGTCCCCAGGGAGAAAGGCGGCATATAAATCGCAATAATAAATAATAAATAAATATTTTTTTACTCGTAAAATGCAACCGGGAAAGAAAGATCTTATGGAGACAATGCTGATAATTATTTGAAGTAAAAAAAAAAAAGCTACATTTGGAAATAATAGAACAAATGAACAAGCTCAGATTTATCATTCCTATTTCTGGACATTATTGAATTGATTTTTTAAAAAGAAAATTGGGGATACCTTTAAAAGCTGATATTAGAATATTGTGTTTATTTACCAGCATTATCAGTTTTAGGGAAAATATGTGATAACAAGCACAGCAATACCAACTATTACAATGGAAACATATATGTCGGGCTACTCTATCCCAGGAAAAAGAAAGTAAGCCTAAATTGTTGTTTCACCCCAGGATTCAGAATTTGTCAGATTCCATGGTGTGCTTTTAATTCAAAAATACAGACATAAATAGAATCACCACTGTAATTGTATACATTATGAAAGGTACTCAAAACATGAGTATTGAAGTCGGCATGTGTAAGTGGCTCCTTACAGACACCCCTACTTATGAGTAACATGTGAATAGTTGAATTTACTTCAAAAGTTCAATAGTTTAATTTACTCACCATTCCTGCTGACTCTCGTGTAGTTGTTCCATCACCATGTTTTCATATGTAATTGAATTGGTGGTCCCATTACTACCTAGGATTAGCTTGCCTAATATCCGAGTTAAATATTTAGTGTATTTGCATAATGAGTGAGATGATTTTGTTTTATCTAGCAGGAGCATCATTTGAATCAAATTGCATTTTTGAGATGGGTGGATTGCAATCAGAAGGACCCAAGTACCGTAGAGAATACAGGGAGAAGAAAAACTCAGTATGTTTATTCCCTGCATACGATAAAACTTTTAACTCTATTGGCAACCATTCTGCAGCACTTGAGACTTTAATACAATTTTACTTTTATTTTTGAAAAACAAAATGACACTGTTTAGAGTCATGTACTCACTGAAGGCTTTTGGCCAATAACGATAACACTATACAAGGATACTTTGTAAGACTCGAGTGGTTTTGAATTATCACCTTAAATTCAATATTACTTGAAATCTTGTGCCAAACCAATTTGCCAAAGTAGCAGAAAGGTTTAAAAACAGCAGGAAAGCTGTTAAAGGCAACAAGTTTAAGGAACGAGCAGAAAAAAACGCTTATTTTTATGAATTGCACTCAAACTGCATTGGTGTTGGGGGAAGATGGCAAACAGCGGTCAACTTTCAGTTCCGGGGTCAGGCAAAGTTTTGTTGCTCAACATCAGCATATTTCCTCACCAGGAAATGTGTGTTGCCTATTTGTTTGTCAAACAGTGATGAATAAGTAGGTTGCCCATGGTGAGTCTGAAAATATTTCCCAGGTTCCATAATAATGCTTCAGTATATCTAAAACCAAAACCATCTTAAAACTGTCAAATACTTCCTGAGTCTTCCGAACACTCTCACTTCTTTCCTTTCAGCTTTTCTTTTTCCAGTCTATGGAGTTTGCTTTCCTAATAGTTCAGCTCTGAACAAATTCAGGAACCCTTCCTAAGAGAGCACAGCTGTGTTCAGAATCTGAAAATGTGCCCTAATGATTCTATATATGACATCTAGTGGTGACAATGAAAACCTACAAGCCCTTTGTTTAGAAAAGAATAGGACACGATAAAAGAAAATATTTCCTTAATGAGATATAGTAAGCTTTCAGTCTGATTCATATATTCCCCATGAAGCGGAATCCTTTGAAGGCATCCTGTTTAATCATCTCTCTGTTTGGAATTACAGTATAAAATATTGTCTAGTTTTTTTTTTTCTATGATATATTGCAGTGGCAACTTTAAATTGTGTAATGCTTGCCACACATTTATTTTGCTTCTCTTTCCCCCCCCCCTACACAATTTCAGCAAAATTTTGATGGATGAGCAGTATATGAGTGCAGCATATTCACATTTAACTCATTCTCCTATCAGGTTTCTTGTCTCATTGACTTTCCCTGATTTAATAGAATTGCAATGGACCATATAATGAGGCAATTCCTCCATTAGGACATTTTCACACCAGGAAACAATGATAGTCAGAGTGTAGAAAGAGAGTTAAATAATAGATTAACAGAGTTGGAATGGACTTTGGAAGTCTTCTAGTCCAACTGCCTGCACAAGTAGGAGACCCTATACCACTCTGGACAAAAGGCTGTCCAATCTCTTCTTTAATACCTCCAGTGATAGAGCACTCACATCTCCTGAAGGCAGCCCATTCCACTGGTTAATTGTTCTATTATCAGGAAATTTCTCCTTAGTTCTAGGTTGCTTCTCTCCTTGATAGATTTCCATCCATTGCTTCTTGTTCTGCTTTCTGGTGCTTTGGAAAATAGGTTGGCCCCCTCTTCTGTGTGACAATCCCTCAAATATTGGAACACTGCGATCATGTCACCCCAGGCCTTCTTTTCACTAGACTAGACATACGCAATTCTGTAACCATTTTTCATGTTTTAATCTCCAGCCCCCTCATCATCTTTGTTGCTGTTCTCTGCATTCTTTCCAGAGTCCCAACATCTTTTTTATATTGTGGCAACCAAAACAGAATGCAATATTCCAAGTTTGGTCTTACCAAAGCATTATAAAGCGGTACTAATACTTTGTATGCTTTTGATTCTATCCCTCTGTTAATACAGCCTAGGATTGCATTGGCATTTCTGGTGGCTGCAGTGCACTGCTGGCTCATAGTTTAAATCAGGGGTGTCAAACTCACATCATCACAGCAGTGTCACATGACATATCAGGACTTTTTCCCCCTTCGCTAAACCGGGCAGGGGCAGAGTTAGCACGTGACACATCTGGCCCGCGGACTGCGAGTTTTGACACCCCTGATTTAAATGATTGTTCACTAGGACTCGAGTTAATTCCTTCTTACAGTTACTGCTATGGAGCCAGATTCTACCTATGCTATACCTGTACATTTTCTTGCCTAAGTGTAAAACCTTACTTTTTTTTTAACCATAGAATTTTATTTTGATAGGTAGGGGCAAGTGTTCAAGTCTGTTGAGATCCTTCTGGATTTCGAGTCTTCTGGGGTGTTGGCTATTCCTGGCAGCTTGGTGTTGTCTGCAAACTTGACGAGTTCCCCTTCTACTCCATCTTAAAATTATTTATGAAGATACTGAAGAATACTGGGCCTAAGACAGAACCTCGGGTACTCTACTGCTTACTTCCCTCCATGTAGATGTAGTTCTATAAAAAAACTACATATTGAGTTCGGTTTGTCAGCCAGTTATGAATCTATCTGGTGATGATGCTGTCTATCCCACATTTTTCTAACTTACTAAGAAGTAGGTTGTGGCCTACTTTGTCAAATGCCTTACTGAAATCCAAATATATTTATGTCCACAGCATTTCACTGGCCCACTTATTTAATTACTTTATCAAGGAATGAAATAAGATTTATTTGACATAAACAAACCCATGTTGGATTTTGGTTATAACTTTGCTTACTTCAGGTGTTTGCAGATCTGTTGCTTGATTATCTTTTCAAGGTTCTTCTCAGGTATTGAAGTCAGGCTGATTGCTCTACAAACTGTAATTCTGCTGACTGCTGACTGCCAGCAGTTTGGCAGTTCCATTCTCACTAACTCAAGGTTGACTCAGCCTTCCATCCTTCTGAGGTAAAATGAGGACCCAGATTGTTGGGGGCAATATGCCGACTCTGTAAACTGCTTAGAGAGGGCTGTAAAGCACTGTGAAGCAGTATATAACTCTAAGTGCTAAATTTCCTAGTTGTCGGGGTCGTTAAAATCCCCCATTTCTACTGTGGTATGTTTCCTACACACATTAGTTAACTAATTAGCAGAAAGTTATCTATTTCTTCTGCTTGGTTGGGTGGCCTGTAGCACATACCTATTTCATTCTTTTTTTTCCTTTTATTTTAACCTATATGCATTGAAAGAGGCTTTTATCCTTGGTTTTATGCATTTCTGAAGCGATACAGTGATTTTTTTTTTTTTTACACATAATGCAACTCCACCTCCTCTTTTGTTAGGTCTGATTCTTTTGAACAGTTTATATTTAAATGTAGACTATAACATGAGGACAATATTAGAATAAATTCAAATACCAAAAGAAATTCCCAATAAATTAAAATTACTTCCTAAAATAGAAATACAGAATTTGGCTCAATTTTAAACCAGATATAAATCACAATAGCAATAGCACTTAGACTTATATATTGCCCCATAGTGCTTTACAGCACTCTCTGGCAGATTATAATATCAGCATATTGTCCCCAATAATATGAGTCCTCATTTTACCGATCTCGGCAGAATGGAAGGCTGAGTCAATCTTGAGCTGGTTAGGGTTGAACTCCAGACTGTGGGGAGAGTTTGCCTGTAATACTCACTTTAACCACTGTGCCACCAAACAAATAATCAAACAAACATCATACTCGATGATTATAAGCTGTTTACAATTAAAAGCCAATCTATCAAAGAACACAGCTGGCCAGAAAAGCAAAACATTGATCATAAATCTACCAGAACCAAATAAAACCAAATCAGGAACTATATAATCATTCTGTCCCCAAAGCCAGGTCTTTAATAACAACAGAAGAGTAGGAGCCACAGAAATGTCTGCAGGAAGAACATTCCAAATGGCAACAGAGTAGACATATTTCTCGAGTCCCACAAGGTGACATTGTTTATTTGACAGATTGCAGTTACATTATAAATAAATAAATAAACAAACAAATAAATAAATAAGGAGCATAATTTAATTTTATTTCTGTATCAACTATTTCAAATGTAAAGGTATGTATTTTGATTTGATACATCTTAACTCTTAACTGTAGGGGATATATAGTTTTTATTTTTATTTTATACCTATTAATGTTTTAGATTTATCACCTGGATAAATATCTGTTAATATATGTGATAGTAATAAAAATACATTAATGTCATAGACTTCTTTATTTTTGTACATGTACATCAACATTCTGACATTATTTTATACACAGCATTATGATCTGGTTATTACAAAACTGTTCACTGAAAAAAAATGGTGAGATGACTTTACTTGGGTTTGTTTTAAATACTAACAATTAAATTGCTAGATCTTTCCATAATGCAGAATGATTATAATATACTGATAGCTTTATCTGAACTTTAGAGAATTGTTCAAGTATGTTCTTCTCATTTAACAACAATTGTTACTTTCAGTAATTCAGTAAGGCAAATTACAAGATTGAAATTTAACAGGTTCATCAGTGGATACAGACTCTTCCCCTTTCTTCTGAACTCTTAATTCTCAGATCTATACTTCTCTTCCACTAACATGTCAGTAACAGAACCCCAATATCTGGAGTTTTACATTCCTGCAATTTGCAGCCAAGAAGCAGATTGTTATTGTTATACAGAATGTTTAGGCAGATTTTTTTATAACACTAGCTTTTGTAGCACAGTCATACATTTGCCACAGTTCTAATAGTGTTACTGCTGCTTTTTACAAGTTTGTACATTGCCATCAGTTTTCATTAGAGGAAAAGGAAAAACAAGCTTTAGTTTAAAATTTGGGACACCAAAGAAAGCCAATTGTATCAGATACAATACTAGCACTGTAGTACTTTGCACTAGATGATGTCCGTGACAATTGAAGACATAATTTTAAATTATTCTAATGAATTGGAGAATACTCTAAGCACTTAATATTTAAGAGATGTACTTCCAATCTATATACTTCAGTACAGTCCATATTCCATTTCTCAAGGGGCATGGTATTGCCACTACATAATTAAGTACTGAAAACAATAATTCACTATTACATCTCAGGTTCAGAATTCCTTATTTGCATAGAAATCAACATCCTGTACAGCCAGGTCTGACCAGTAGAGTCTTATGGCTTGATTAGTTTACCACGTAGGCATCATATCAGGGAACCACATTCTTCCAAGATGTTTGGAAACTTCAGAATGAATTTGATCCAGATTGTAGTCACTATCTGGAATGAGCACTTCTTCCATAATGGACAGTTCTGTGAGTCTGCCTCCACACATCTTTACAAACTCAATAAAGCCTCGACAGGTAACTTCACATTCACCAAGTCCCATGGCAGTTAAATTCTTACAGCGTTCAGCAATGCGAATGAGTTCATCATCCAAAGGCTGAAGACCATTAGCACAGACAACCAATTCAATAAGCCTTGGGCAGTTCAATCCAATGCGGCCAAGCATTGATTTACTTACTGCACGGCCAAAGTAAAGATGAGTTACAGGAGTTTCCTCTCTGAAGAATACATCAAACTCTTCCTCATATAGGAAGAAGTACATCACAATGTTGACTTTAGGGGAGTGCTTAATCAGCGCATCCCAGCTTTGCTTTTTGATGGTGTGAAATTCAGTCTGTCCAGGATTCTCACTTACAACATCTATACGGAGATGTTCCAGGTTAACATGCTTCTCACTTGAAAGAGCCAGCAACAGTTCATCACTTAGTAGATGGTAGTTAAGAGCCAACTCCCTAAGGCCGTGACACTGGTCAGCAACACAAAGAATTCCTAAGAGAGACAGAAAATTCAACGTAAGTGTATAAAATATACTTCAATTTATTTTTTTATGCTATAGTGTTTATATGCACCAGCAAAGTTGCAAATATTTTTATGTATTCTGAATGGGAAAAATCATGAAAGTGATGGGGAGAAGTTCTACATTGTTTCCTGTTTGTTCAGAAAACACATCTGCAAATTCAGTAAAGAAACACTGTCAATATCTCAATGGGTTTATCATTTAACATTTTGGTTCTCCGCAGTGACAAGTTCTAAACAAAAACATTGATATACAGTGTTAATCATTTAGAAAAAATATCTTTAAAATCAATAAAATTTCTTTCAATGCAGCTTCAGTCCAAAACCATACATGATAAGATATAATCTGCAAAGATTTAATTCGTCACCGAAAAATATGTCTACCAGGAAAAAAAAAATGTGATGCAAGGATGGTTTTTGGTTCCATTGCTTGTACAGTTTTAATTCTGCATAATTAAATCCACTGAGAAATTTTATTTTGTAATACACTGAGATATTTTTGTGAAATCTTTCGACAATCATTTATTTGTAATTTTGCCTAATTTGATCTGAAAATGAACTAAATCCCTGCTTAACTAGGAACCTGACTTAACTTATGAAAAAAAAAATCAGCTCATCTAGTGAGCAAAACTCTCCCTCAACCATCTTCTCATCTGAAAAAACATGCAAATCAAAATAGTAACTCTCATGACTCTCACAGGACAACCATGTTTGTTGTCATCTTTTTTTAAAAAAGAACATCTGTTGCAAGTTGCAAGCAAGATGGTGACTGCCTGAATGAGAGCTTCTCCATTTTTGGTGCTTCTGGATCCCTCAGCAAAGAATAACTGGATGCAGAGCTGGGGAAGAGGACTATATAGGCTCTGGAAAGGAAAAGATTTCTCTCTTTGCCCCAAAGAGGAGGAAGTCATTAAGATTGGAGACACCCTATTAGCAATAGCACTTAGACTTATATACTGCTTCATAGTGCTTTACAGCCCTCTTTAACCGGTTTACAGAGTCAGCATATTACCCCCATTAAACTGGGTCCTCATTTTACCGACCTCGGAATGATGGAAAGCTGAGTCAACCTTGAGCCAGGGAGGATCAAACTGTTGGCAGTTGGCAGAATTAGCCTCCAATACTGCATTCTAACCACTGCACCACTACGGCTCCTATTAAAACATACTGAAGTAGCAACTGCCAATGTATGAAAAGAAATGAACTTCTTTCCTGGGCCTCACATTGAGAACATGATTGAAAAGTTTCTGATTATGCTTTTCTACTGAGACATTCTAAGATTAAAGACTATAGGAGAGTCAGTAATGTTCCCAGAATAAGATCAACTACACACCACTCCAATGAGAAGAAAGATGGCAGAATTTAAGAAGCCATTATGGTACAGGGGTTTGGACCAGATGATTTTTAAAGTCCTTCAGATCTTATGTTTTATGATTCTATTAAATTCAGAGCACTGCACAGCACATTAACATTATCAAACTGTAAAATAATAAACCTGCTTCTTCATTTAAAAGATGTAGCCTCTGTTGCTACATCCAAAAAGCTATTCAAAATTTCTACTTAAGAATGAACCCAGGAGTTGCAATGACAAGAATAAAAAATGGCATGGAAAAAAAATTCTATATAGGAAGATAATTTTGATAAAGGTAAAGGTAATACAATAAGAACAGTTCATCACTCTTGCCACAGTGTTGTATTTTGTTTACTTGGGTTTATTACTTACCAGCAGGTGACACATGAGGGCAGCTGCTCATTTTAAGCAATTTTAAAGTATCACTATTGTTAGCAACAAGAACCTTCAAGGATGGATCATCTACTGGTGTATCTTCAATCTTAATGGAAGATAATGACTTAGAATTGATGAACACTACTGTCAGCGCTGATACAAAATGAGCCTATTCAAACAAATTAGAAAGGAAACATTTCACATACATCTCCTATACAGTTATAAATTCACTGCATTTTTTCTTAAAAGGGGTAATACTGTTGGTTCATATTTCTAAAAAGCTGTTTAAGAAGAACTTTTTCAGAAGGAATGTTTATCTAGAAGTATTTAATGAGTCATTACCATAAAATACACATAACATAGATGGTTTAGAGCTATTAATATTGAAGAGTATACCCTTAACAATCAATGAACCTTCTTTATTTATGAGTACACCAGGCCTGAATGCAATAACGAACTACTCAGCAGATCAAATTCAAATACTGTGGTAATAGCATAATTTTACCAAAAGATTATAACCAATTATGTCATTTAGATGATAGAAAAGTGTTGAACAATAGATTACTTCCCCTCACCCCGCTGGTGAGTTGAATATTGACTGCAGTAAATTTGAGAAGCACACAGAAAATGAATTGTGGGAAGAGAATTACTGTGAAGTAATTATAATTACATCAATTTATGAAATAACTGATTTGAAATAATTGTGAAGAAGTACTGTTTGAGTGGAGTTCACTGGAATTATATTGAAAGGAGTCCAATGACAGGAGGATGTTTTTTTAAAAAAAACACTCTTCTTTATAGATTTTATTATCAGGAATTTGTTCTACTATATAACTTCCCCAACTCTAGTCAGCATGATCATGGTGGCTAGTGATGTGAATTATCGTATACCACCTTGAATGCTTATTTATCTAATTTAGCAGAAATATGAGGTACAATTGTAAACATTTGTAGATAATGAATTGGCAAATTTCCAAGATTTTCAGAAGGAACTGAAATGGTAATATATCCCCTGAATATTCCAGCTCTTACAAAACTATTTTATGATACAGGAGATATACAACATATGTTTTAAAGAACATAGATTTGGAGGATTCTATTCCAGCAACCTCATTCCATCCATAATATTTTTTCAAACTTGGTATATTTTCTTTTTTTGCCTATGTACCGATCATCAAGTGATCAACATACTACTAATGTACTGTTTTCAACTAAACATATGTATATATTTAAAAAAAAACCAACTAGAATTCTTTTGGTCACAAGGGTTGTTTTCCCATGCTAGCATTTGTCAGGATCTAAGGTTTTCACAGCAGGGCCTGCTTATTTAAATTATAGGGTGGTATCCAACTGCGCTGCTTCACTTGTTACAGCAATATTTGATTCAGTGAATGGAAAAGGATGGGAAACAAATTCATTAATTGCTTCTTTATACTGCAGCTACTTCATTTTGTTCCAGAGGATTAACAGATCTTCTAGAAATGACAAGGAACTGTAGCAGAAAGAGAGGACTAGAAAAAGTCAATTTGTAAAGGTTCCTATTATACCAAACTTTGTTCTTAAAGCAAAACTAATCAATGAATTATTTCCAAAGGTGACACATTGGGGAAAAATTCTATAGATTGTGTTCCCAAATATATATGCAACTACTGAATATAAAAGTTGTATTTATCAGTTTTCCAAGTTCATATCTTTGCAAGCAATACCTTAGAAACGTCCATGAAACTTGGCTTTGCTGTTGAAATTAAGCCAAGTGTCTTGATAGAACAATTCACCAGCTGAGAAAGAATATCACACGCTGCTTCTGCAGACTCGGTACTACTGTCAACCTGGGGAAAAAAAAAGTTTTTCATCAAGATAAAGATTATCTCATGCTGCTATTCCTTTTATGCTTCTTTGCTAGCTTTAAAGAATATGGGAACCCTTTGATTCTGAGCACTACCAAGTACTGCTTTTCATCAGTTAATTAAGGTTAACCACTCATCACCTACAATTCTTGAACAGAAAGGTACACAAATATATATAGAAGCTGATACAGGACTTCAAACAAGCACACATAAATTGAATACAGGTGGTCCTTGCTTTGCAACAACTGGGCCTGGCAACTAAGTAATATGGTCATTAAGGAAAACATCGTGTGACCACAACCTGCAATTTTAAGGCTGGTTTTTCCATTGATTCTGCTAGTCAGAAGCCAGCATTGAAGCACACAAATAATGATCTGCAACAATTGTAAAAGCCTACTGCTTAGGAAACTTTTAAATCTTGATCATGTGACCACAGGGCTACTGCTACTATTGCAAGTGCAAGAACTGATTGTAAATTTACTTTTACAGTGCCATGGTAACTTCAATCTTTGCTAAACAGGTTGCTAAATAGGCAGTTGTTAAGCAAGTTCTACCTGTACATTTAAAAATATAAGAAATACAAGGAGTCACTGTGCACTTACTGAGATATACCTGACACACTATTCAGGTGATCAAGATTAATTCATTTTTAAAGAAAGTACACTAAGACTTCAGTCAAGAGATAGTCAAAAACAGTCCCTTACATGTTTATTCCCACAGATTTCTAAAATTAGATGTAATGAGAAATAGTGAGTGATCCGTATTTCATTCTGCTTCTGTTTGGTCTGTATATAAATATGTCTATTCACTTGTGCTGAATGTATATTGTTTGCTGCCAGCAATTCCTCCCACACCCTCTGCTCTGAAAGGACGGGGGGATTTATTCATTTATTTAGCGTATGGTATATCATACTAGCAATATATATTGACATATATTGTATTAATCAATTAACAACTGGGGCATATCGTGAGTCACATCAGGGCTGAAGGGGAAAGGGTGTAAGGGAATGATTGAGCTGGAATCCCAAATCTACTTTAACACTGAGCATTTTTTCAATACTTCAAGTAGGAAGTATATAAAATAAGCTTTCCCACAAAAACCGCCGAAGAAAATGCAAATCCAAGGTGCAAAAAAATACAACAAAATTCAGAGTTATTAAAACATACTTTACCTTGAAGCTTACATACTGCAAATGATTAGCATGTCTCTTGATAATCTGCTGAATAAGATCAGGATGAGTAGACTTCAAGTAAGATGTAGCAGGCTGATTAAGTTCAAATTCAAACTTTCTCCAAAGATCAGGAATATGAAATACTTCATTCCATCTTCGGCAGACTGAAGATGCCCGAGCACGATCAACAAGAGGCAGATACTGAAAGATTTGCAATACTATATGGATTGGCAGGTTTCCCCAGTCAATCAAGTTGAAAGCATGAGATGCAGCAAACATTGAGCTATAAAAACCAGTTTTTTGCTTTTTCTTTCTTTCTAGCATTTGAAGATTTTCATATTTAACTGTCTCCTTGATCCTCTTCATACCGATGACAAAAAAAAATCACGTCAAATACTGTTGAATTGTGTAGAATGGACAAAGCTTTCTGTAAGTTTTCAAATACAGTCGATCTCTAGGAAAATAAGGACAGAATTAAAGGACTTTCAGAATGCAAAATCTGACAATATTAATCAATATCTATAAAATCCCTATTTTTAGAAAGACTAGGCACTATCTGAGGGGTGAATGAATGCCATTCGAATTCCCAATTTTACATTGGTCAGTTGGATATCTTCTACTGACATCCAAGAAAAGTTGTAGCTGATTTTAAGATCATTTCCTCCTCTCTGGGTTTACTAAAGTGGTATCTATGGAAAGCAATTTATTTCCTATAACTGCCCATCTCTATATTTGTTCCAAATCTCACTGTTACATTCAAAGCAAGTCTTGAAAATGCCAATTTCAGGATTTTTTTCAGGGCCTTGAAGATGAAAACAGTTTGTCTAGCAGTGATTTCCTAGGTGATGGAATGTAGCAGTCTGAATTCCCAGGAGGAAAGGGGTGCATTTCAGAGGAATCAGTTTGGAAAGATTCTGTCTTCTAGGTGTGGAAGAATAAAGAAATGTGCTTGGAAGAATCATGTGTCTTTCTTACCTTTGACATCAATCTTGCCAAACCAAACACTCTTTCAATATCAAGCATATTCTCTGAGAACTATCAGGGAGTGGCTGTCTTCACCCTCTTTCTCTCACACAAAATATTTGGACTGAGCTGCCTCTTATTCCTCCACCTTCCACCCCCTCCTTCCAGGGAATCTAGACTACATTCCATCACACTTGATTTATTCATCTTCTTAAATTTCTCTTATTATTATTTTCTTTACAAAGGCTTAACATTGTGCTAAAATGGTAGTGAGGATGAGAATATAGATGGTTTACCTCTCAGAAGGTTCCAGCCCTCATTCGTTTTTAGGAAGTTGCCAATGAAATTCAGCTATTTTGTCATTGGATTTTGGCAGTGCAATCTCAGAGATCTCAGAGGTCCAGGGAGCCACAAAGGTCACTGCAGGTTAAACTGTTGCACCCATAGCACAACACCAACCCTTTCTGGGTTGGTGGCCCGGAGTGGGGGGATGTGTGTGCGCAAATGGGGCCATGAGCATGCTCATGACGCTCGCATAGACATTACTGCCCATGGTGACGCTAGCACCTGCACGTTGCTCGTGATACTAGCGCAATTGAGGGGAAGCACATGCACACATGCGCACACACTGGCCAGCCACTCACGTGACCCGGCAGCCAACAGGTTGGGGATCCCTGGCATAACAGATTCTTATTTTCCACTTCGAGCTCCTTCATAGAAAATTAATTTACCATTGGCTATTGTCGATAAACTGTACAAATATGTTTTTCCCAAAAGGAATATGTATAATTCTCATTCTTTCTCTCTCTCTCTCTCTCTCTCTCTCTCATAGATAGATAGATAGATAGATAGATAGATAGATAGATAGATAGATAGAATGTTTCACCGAAAATAAGACCGGGTCTTATATTAATTTTTGCTCCAAAAGACGCATTTGGGCTTATTTTCTGGTTAGGTCTTATTTTGGGGAAAAAACGGTACTAAATGCAGCCATCTGGCTGACAATCTTAACTGGGGCTTATTTTGGAGGTAGGGCTTATATTACGGGCATCCTGAAAAATCATGCTAGGATTTATTTTCCGGTTGGGTTTTATTTTAGGGGAAACAGGGTAGATAGATATATGTAATTATCTATCTTTCCCAAAAGGATTGTGGAGGGACTGAGGGAGAAATCAAATCTTAAACCTCTTGAAGGTTGCCCTGAATCCTACACTTTCCCCCATTCCTATTTAGATAAATGAAACCACATGGTAAGATCGTTCACTATTGAATACTTTCAGGTGCCTAGAAGCTGTCTGTCTAGATGGGGAGGATTAGAGTAAGATGCAAATCCAGCAAGATGGGAGTCACTGTGGGTTTGAAAGTCAGCCGTTTACTGGGAGATTCCATTATTAGTTTGCACTTCCCTGATCAGATTTAGTTCATGGCTTGGGAGTCCTCTAGACTCATAGCTTCTGCTTTAGGCCTTTGCTCAGTACCATCTAGACAGCTCTTTTCTGGAATGGCAATCAATATTCACTGTCACTCATGCCTTATCCACTTCTTAATTGGACTACTGTAGTGCACTGTACCTGGAACTACCATTGAAGAACATTTGGAAGCTGCAATCAGTTTAGAATGCAGTGGCTTGGGTAGTGATGGATGTTCCTAGTGCCAGTTGGCTTCCAAATACAATTTAAGGTGCTACTTATCACTTTGAAAGCCATTCATGGTTCAGGGCCTGGATATCTACAAGATCATGTTCTCCCTGCAATATCTACTTGCATGAAGGATCTGTGAGCTCCTCACATGTTCACCATAGTTAGAGGGTCTCATGTTTTAGGGCCAAGAAAATATGGACTTTCAGTCACTGTTCCCCTTCTCTAAAATAGTATTCTGTACATTATGTGATTGGCCCTTTCTCTTTTAAGAAATGGGTTGTTCCATCAAGTCTGGGGGCTAGGAGGTAGGGCTGAGCATATTCATTAGTTATGTCAACTTGTGTGTGATGAGTTTGTTTTTAGCCAGGTAGCTACCCTATGTGCAGTATTTTTGTTTTCCTGGGTTTTTAAAAAATGCCTTTTTTTTCTTTTAAGACTGTTAGTCATGAATTTGAGCTAGGCAACCATATAAATTGAAATAATTAATAAAGTCAAGGAGGGTGGATTGTTTTGTTGGCCTCTTGTTTGGGAGACTTTACAACTGTTTACATTTTTAGTCATGAATCCTGAATCATATTGTCCCATACAACCCAGAATCAGCACTGGAGCAGCCTATAAACCTAATAAATAAATACATACATGCATACTGAAACTTAAAGAAACTGCTTAATAGCAGAAAATAACTTTACAAGACATACCATAAAAACACCCATTTAAAAAAATAGAGGATTATTTCTTTTTACACTTTTTCTCTAATTGGCAACATTTTGAAATTTTGACCATGAAGGTGAGGTTACTGATACTGAATGGATAAATAATGTTAATCAAGTAAATATATTCAAAGTACGCTTAATTTTTATACAATGATGAAATATATGACACATGCCTTGTATATACAAGTTCCTAGATTTAAATTCCAAAGAACATTTAATAGAAAGACTCTACTAGAGACCTATGAATCTCTATACAAAAACTAAATGTCAATTAAAAAGGGCAACATTGGATTGGTTGAAAAGGCTACTATGTAAATTTCTTTATTCAAGTGTTTGTATCCTCTTTTCCCCTTCATAATTAAAATGTACAAAGCTGCTAGTAATAGAGACATTTGTTTTTCATAGTATTTATGTTAATTATATTTCTTTATATAATCGCTCCAGCGATTATTAACTTCTTAAACTGACTAAGAAAGAATGTCTAACTAAAATTGCCTTAATTAATTGCATGTTAAATTGCAGCTGGCAAGTAATATCTTCAAAATAGCATTCTCACTTCCCTTGATGGAAAGCTTTTAATCAAATAAAATTAGGATTAATGGTTTCGAATTTAATAAATTCATTATCTTATCAACTATACTAGACTTTCATTATCAGTTTAGTCCATTATAGCATGACTAATGGATAGTCTGAAATTTAAATCCAGTGAATAAAACAACAAGAAGTGATTAAGACTAAATATATTACAGTACAACTTTGTATGTGTACACATGGTAAAACCGAATAGAAAAATTGTATCCGAATACATAACCCTATCTGCATCTCTTTGACCTATGAGATATATAGAGAAATTTTGCTGTACAGCACAGATTCTAAAACTATTCTATGCATACTATTTCAGAGTACAGAGTACAAATTGATGTTACATAAAATGCCTCCAACAATGTAATTCCATGCATAAGTGAGATGTTTATTTATTTGGCCTTTTAAAATAATTCAAAGCAGTGAATATACAAAATATTCCTTCCTTCTCTTATTTTACCCATAACAATGACATTGTGAAGTAGGTTAAGCTAAAACAGAGTCACCGACCGAAAGTCACTCAGTCATCTTTCATTCCTATGGCAGGGCTAGAATTGAGTTCTGGTTTTCAGGTGAGCATCTTAAGCACAATACCAAACTGTCTCCATAACAGGGCATTCAAATCCTGGATGATCACATATGGGATTATTCTATCCATGTAATCTGCAGATGCATTAGTTTTTTAAAAAATTATTTACGTATATATTTAAAAGTTCTATTGGGCAACATGAGTAGTGGGTTTCAATTTAGTTTGCTACTGGTTTGCTTGTGCACGTGTTTGCACGACGCTTCTGCACATGTGCAAAAGCGTCTAGGCAGGTGGGCGGAGTCTCCCGCTGTCGCCGCTACCGATTCACCCGATCCGGGGTGAACTGGTAGCAACCCACCACTGGCCAACATGTCATATATATATATATATATCAAAGTTAAAAATTAAGGTTTTGCCATTTTTATCACTATCAATAAAAAGAGCTAAGTGGACCACTTTTCTGGTCATCAGATATAAACCAGTCCAGATTACCTTTTTCTTTAACTTATTATCATATAACCCTTTCTTGGGTCTAGATAAAGAAAATACAAAACAGAATTGACAATTCAATTCAATAAGTAGGATTTATTGAAAAGAAGAATTTATCTCTGGGACACTGAGTTATCTTCAAGGTAAATGACTGAAATTCATTTTTCTCAAAAACTGGATAAGGGCAAGTGTAAACCTAATTGTTTGATGTCAGATCCATTACATTTGTCTCATTGAGATTACTAGTGACATACATTAAAAATAAGAATGGCCTAGGAACAAAACAAATGATTAGTCCAATTACTGCAGGCTGTGATATGACATTCCTCCTACTCATAGCACCCCCAAATACAGACCAATATTCAGAGGCTTATTAATAAGAGAACTAATAATAGAAAATAATAAATAATAACAAATAGAACCAATAGACTAGTTATCTTTGTCAACCTTATCTTTGTCAAACTTATGAAGAACAAGCTCAGGGATGTAAGACACCTGACACTCAATCTAAGCAATCAGACTCACTTTCTAGTGAGATGGAGGGAACGTAAGTTTAATAAATAAATAAATTAAATTAAAAAAAATAAAAATAATAGTTTAGTAGCAGTAGTATATTAAGTAGTAGTAGTAGTATATTAGTAGTAGTAGTATATTAAGTAGTAGTAGTAGTAGTAGTAGTATATTAAGTAGTATATTAAGTAGTAGTAGTAGTATATTAAGCTCAGCTATTGCCATACACGAATTTATTAGTTCCTTAACAAAGCTGCAATTTCCCCTCCTGAAATCCATGTGCCAATTAAGTGATTAATAGTTTCATAGTTTAAATTTCTTGTTGGGCGAAAACCGTAAATAGATTACTCTCGCACAAAGAATACTGGGATATAAGTAAAATAATATGGAGTGGGTTGTAGAAATAGTAAGAAAGGTACGTGAAAGTCTTTTTGTGTGTGTTTGTGTGGGGCGGGAAGAAATGGCTTAAATTTGACCAATAATAGAGCTCAACAATGCTTTAGTTTCAGATCATCAGAGCCTGTTACCCTTTTTAAAGCTTGGACCACTGTAGCCAAATACTTTTGAAATACTGAAATATGTTCCCTCCCACCCCAAATCATGGTATTTTCTAGAGGCAAGACGGACTGCAATCCAAAGGTTCAGACCGTTCTGAAAAGCAGTTACCTTCAATCAAGGGATAACATTGCTGAAGATATCTCTACTGCTATCATCACTGCTGTATATGTTCTGTGGTCAGAAGAATTCAGCCACCGGGGATGTTACTCCAGCAATCATTGCATACACTAAGTTCACTTAAAAATATTTTGAAGAAAATATTATATTTGAAATATATATATATACACATAAATTAGAATAACTAGTAAATAGGTCACAGAATATAATTAGCAATACTGTGGTAGAGAATAAGTATGACAGTTTGTACTAGTTTATATGAATACTTACCAATAAGAGGAGACATTATTAAATTCAAGAAATTATAATTCTCGTGTTATCATTTTTTAAAATGTATACAGGCAACCATCTGGCAGAGGTAATAGCAAGGATCATGATAAGCAGACCTATGGATGAGGTTCAAGATTCCTTCTCAGGAATCCTTACAAGTATGCATGTTTGTACATGCATTTGTAAAATCAAATGGGTCTGACGTATGAATGATAGTCGGGTACCTTTGAGCCCCGCCCTGAAAGGGTTGCAGAGTCAACATACAACTCCTGTCTTAAAACATGCAATCAAGCAAAATACAAAACACCACACCACCGATGTGCTATTTTTCAAAGTTTTAAAATTGAATACAATAGATTAAATAAAAACTAAATCAACCTTACAGCAGACCCGCTGAAATTAAACGAACGAATGAATGAATGAATGAATGAATGAATGAATGAACGAATGAATAAATAACCAACCAACCAACCAACCAGTTTGCCATACTATACCCTTCTGGATCCAGGATGTATAACCCCAAAGTCATGTTTGGCTTTTCCAGTCAGCAAATAATTTAACTGGGAAGAAGAAGAATGTGGCCTTAAGTTCTACTCTTCAGAAAAAGCCCAACAGAAATTCTGTACTCATGGATGCCATTTTTACCAACAGATTGGTTGCACAGCACTGCATTCCCAATTGTAATATTTGGCCTCAAAGCCTCAACTAAGGTCCCTTCCAACTCTGTTAATCTGTTAGATCTGTTACCATGTTTACCCAAAAATAAGACCTAACTGGAAAATAAGCCCTAGCATGTCTTTTGGAGCAAAAATTATTATAAGATCCAGTCTTATTTTCAGGAAAACACAGTATGATTCCATCATAAAACCCTTCAGAAAATGACATCACATGGGCCACTCTAGCACTGAAGACATTAATAAGTCCACTATGACTTCTGTTAATGCATGGTAATGCTTATGCCACTCTTAACATTACAGGAATGCTTTATTATACACATTGTACTTGTATTTTGGAGATAATATGTATTATAATTGGACATAAAATATTGGCTAGGTCCTGCAATATAGAAAACAGTTATATTTCCTTTCAGCCAATTTAAGCACAGAGCAGAATATTGTAGAGATTATTGACCTGTACATCATAAAACTTTATCTGGTATCTTATTCAGAATAAATAAAACACAAATATTTCATATATAACAATATATATCCAAATAGATTCAAGTATGTTAAATTAACTCCAGCCTGATGACTAATTTCACAAATCAGCTGGCCTTGAATTAGAGGTGCACGTGCACATATATACTTCAGAAAATGTGGAAATTCCTGCCTAACACAAACATCTTTCTGATGTCTGAACATCATCCCATTGCTGAGTTTTTCTAACTGGCTGAAAGCATTTAACTGGAGAGCAGGGTGAAATCCCAGGAGAATGATTGACATGTGAAATCATCCACCAAAGAAAACTGACCTGCCCAGTTTAGGAAACCCATGGAAGGGACTAAGTTAGAGTTTGGAACTAATGCTTGTTTAAGAAGATTATTTCATGTTTTGAATACAAAAATATCCAAAACTGGTAAACCATATTAAACATCACCATATAGCTAATTAAAGAAGAAACTGAAAGATATCATGAATATCTTTCAGTTGGATATCTTGTGCTATCAAAGTACCACAAAGTCTGTACTTTAAATTATTTAACAATGGTTTAGCAGATTGCCTGTATTCATAAAAATGTTACGGATGATACTCTTCAAGTGCATGTTTGAAAAATTACAAAATCTATATTATGTATATCATATTTGCTGACAGAAAAGGTTCTGATATTTTTTCGTTAAGCTCTTTAAAGATGACATCACTTGGAGAAGAAAATTCATTCTAATTTCTTTTATATATAGTATAGTGAATTGAACTGCATATTTTATCTGCAAATCATTATTTGTTCTGATTGCACTGATGATATTACAGTACAAGTATATTACAAATTATATTACATACTGAATTCATCTGCAATAATCCAATGTAGTTCTTCAAGGAAATGCACTTTGATTAATATTGAAGAATATGAAAGCTATCAGTGTTAATAATTTTATGGTATTATCTGGAAATTCTATGAAAGGAAGCTAAAAAATAAAAGCAGTACAGCTACTATTTTGTGCAAACTTAAGAAATGGGTAAAGACAGGAATAAAAAATATGTTCTTGTGACTTTCAGAATTCATTTTCCAATAGAGAAGAGTGTCACAGATAAATGTGTTTGTTTAGGATTGCTTGTTTAGGACCCAAGCAATTTGTTACTCCCCTTTTCTCGGCTGTGTGAGTGCTGAATGGCAAATGGCCTAACACCCTCCCTTCAGCACTTGGAATTGTGTTTCTCAACTGTGGGAATACAGTGTAATGCTACAGTTATACTGTGTGCATCTTTTTGTCCCCTGAAGCAAGAGAGAGAGAGCAATTTCATTTGTGCATAAGAAAGTCATTTAGCATTATAAGAACCAACTAGGCAAACCTGTTTCAGCGTAATCCACTTTGGAAGATTCTGCTTTCACTTTTTTGCTAAATGCAATTTAGTATTGCATCCAAATTCAGAAAATTGTTAATTTTAACTACAATTATTGAAAGGAAGCCAACTTGAAATCTTAAACTGAAAACCAATAATGACAACTGAACAAAGCTAAGCTTTCATGAGTAATAATAAGTTGGTTGTACCTTCGACCAGTCATACATTGAGGACCAACTGTACATGACAACAAACTGAATATCCAAATTTCACTGCTGTTATCTAACTGTCATATGGATGTTTATAGTCCAGATCAGGGGTCAGCAACTCACAGCTCTAGAGTTGCATGTGGCTCTTTCATCTCTCTGCTACGGCTCCCTGTTGCTGGTCGGCTCCACAATTGATAGGGTTTTCGGTTAAGACAGGAAGAGCAAAAAGGACGCCATGCTAGGAGGAGACTCTATGGTGGGGGAACCGGACTTCTGGTCAGCAGAGGAAAAAGGACACCATGCTAGAAGACTATGATGGGGGAACCGGACTTCCAGTTGGCTCCAGAATTGAACGGGGGCTTCCAGTTAGGACCTTTGTGGCTCTTTGAGTGTTTAAGGTTGCCAACCCCTGGTCCAGATCCTATAAGACTGATTTTCACCAACTATCTTCATCTGATCACATTCTGAAAGCATGAATGAAGCTCAAAGATCATGTTTCCTATGCAGACTGCGATAGCACAAATAAGAATAAGGAAACTAAAACTACAACCTTACAAGCATTTCAAAATTTGAGCAACATGGACTTCCGGTTTGCTGCTTGTTCCCGCTGGACGCTCCTCCGGGATCGTCGAACCCACTGCCTGTAAGAGCCGCCTTTTTCAGCGGAATGGCGGCTCGAAAAAACTCAGTTTCCATTAGGAAACAGAGATAGAGCCGGCTGGGGTGGGTAGAGTCCTCTGCCTAATCCCAAAAGTTTTTTATTTACTTTTGGGAGGGAGCGGAAGAGATTCCCCGTATCCCCAGCCGATGCTCCAGGCTCTGGGAAATCTCTGCTACACGCAGAGCTAGGGGGCAAAAGCAAGCCTGTAAATCTGTCAAATAAATTAATTAAAGAAGATATGAGCTGGACCTCTGATCCTGAAGCGCAAGTATTCTTTTTATTCTATTTTGCCTAAGAAGTGAAGTGAAGGGAAAAAAGTTTTTTTTTAAAATGGCGATTGCTGCTGCGGCTTGAAGAGAGGCTGAAAGGGAAACTCCTTCCGTTTTCAATTACAAAGTAGCGGAATGAATACTTTTGGCTGTAACTGAAGGCAAAATCTCACTCTCACTTCTGTTTTTTTTTCTTTTTTCTTTTTTTTTTCTCTCTTTGAGGATCTGATATTGATCTTGGTTGGAAAAAAAGTTTTTTTTTCTCTTTTCCAGTAAATTTTGTCTGCGTGGGAAAATGGCACTGAGACTTATAAAACTAGACAAACAGGCAGTGGGGGGGGGGATTCCCCCATTAATAAATTACATCAACAAGTTTTAACTCTCCAGTCTCAGAAACCTGACTTTAATATAATAGAATTTCTTCTTGAGGAGATTGTAAGAAGGGATGAGATTGTGAATCAGCAACTTGAAAAATTTAAGTTGGAAATCAAAGAAATTGGTGAATTGGTGAAATCTAAGTTTGGCTTTTTGGATCGAAAGATTTTAAAAGTAGCTAATGGCTTAGCAGACTTTATGACTCAGTTGGAAGCAAATACTAACTCTAAAATGAAAGAAACTGAGGAGAATTTGGATGACAAGATCCAAAAAATTAAAAAGGATTTGGCAAACATTCAGGATAATAGTTCAGAAGACAAACTTAAAATGGAGGCTGATCAAAAAACTGTTAATGAAGAAAATGTACAACAGAGGATTGAAAGAGAAGTTTTAATGATCCAATACAATTTTACAGAATATGCAATTAGACTGAGAGGTTTGCAGGAAGATGACAGAGATTTAAGGAAGATATCTTCTGAAATTCTGGCTGGGATTTTAAAGGTTCAACCTGATGAAGTGTTTTGCAGGATTGACAGAATTTATAGAATAAACTCCTGGTTGGCAAAACAAAGGCAATTGCCTAGAGATGTGGTGATTTATTTTACAGACAAAGAAATTAGAAATAATATTGTCCAGAATTCTTATGATTCTGCTTTGCAATTTCGTGGAAGGAAGATCTGGATTTTTAAGGAACTCCCGCCCAAGATGTTAATGGAGAGGAAGAAATTTGGTTTTCTAGTGAATGAGTTAAAAAAAAGGAATATTCTATTTAGGTGGGACGTCCCAGTTGGTTTAATATTGAGAAACCAAGGAGTAAGATACCAACTGAATACTGTCGAAAAAGCGGAAGAATTTTATCAAAAAATTTTAAAAATAAATCTAACATCTTTAGGCATAACACAGGACAAGCAAAAGGAGTTGGAAATAAAGGGAAAACATCAAATTACAGAGGCTGTGGTAGATAAACTGTCTTTGGACTCCTTGGATACCCCAGCTGGACTGTCTATAAATTTGAGAGCAGTGTCATCTGATTCTAATGTGATGAACTATCAACTTACAGACAAGTGCGTAAATCACCCAGTTGATATACAAGTGATGGAAAAGACATATGAGATAATAAAACAAAACCAACAAGATCAATTTACAAAGCAGAATGACAACCGATCAGCTGATACACAACTTGTAGGAAGGAAATCTGGATGGAAATGCAACCCGCAAAAGAAAAAGAAAAGAAACAGATCTCGTAGAAATAGTAGTTTCTAAACCAAGCAACAGTGAAGCCAGGGATTTTAAAAAAAATAAATGAATATGTGAAAAGATATTGGAGGCGAATTATCGTTTAATACTATCTTGAGGAAAGTGGCAGATCTCTGCAATGCCGTGATTTTGGGATGTGGAAAGAGCCTTACATTGTTGGATTTGAACTATCTATTTTGGATTTCTTTTACCGATAAATATATTATATCTATTTTGAGTTACAAGGCAAGAGAGTCATGCTGGGGCATGCAGAAGATCTGGCTGTTACCCACTAAGATGATGGGGATTTATAATCCTGATGAAAACCACAATTACAACTATATGGAATATAATTATAATGTCACTCGGGTGGTTGTTTTTACTTTTATATATACATGAGGATATTCATTATTGATGGGGGCAGAAGATGACTGAAGATTTTGAATAAACTGTTGCACCAGGATGCTATGTTACCCTATTATGGATGACTGATTTAACAATCTAGTGGAAAGACATCAAAGAAGATACTAAATGAATTATAAATTTAAAGTTATTGTCTTTTCTCTTTTTATAAAATGGAATGTATATATAGACATATGTATATTTCAGCAGAGTGGGCAGTGGATTATATTTAGAATTGTAGTGCATGGTAATCTTGCAGGAAACTGGGTTGAAATAGGCTAGTTTAGTGATTGATTAGTTTAAGAAAAAGGATTTTTAAGTCATATATTTTGGGGAGTGGAAGAATTGGATAGAACTGAATAAATTTGGAGAAGGCTGCTTTGAAATGTTAAATTAATATATATAAAAGTAAAAGTTATGTTGTTGTAATAATAATAATATTTTATAAGTTTGGGGGAGGAGAAAAAGGGTAGATTGTGAAAAGCAGAGAAAAGCGGAGTTATAAGAATACTATGCTAAGGGTCAGTACTTTGAGGAGTGAGTAAGGGCATGGTAAAATATTATGTAATTAATTATGAATTAGCTTATTGTTGTGAAGAAGAAGTCACAGGGGGGGATGGGTGGTGAGGGCGGGTTGGGGAAGAAGGGAGGAAAAGGGGGAAAAACTTGTATTTGAAAAACTTTTTCAATTAAAAAAAAAAAATTTGAGCAACATGAAAAATGGGATTCCTCAAATATGTGTCTTTTTTTTACTTTACCTGGGCATTGCAAAAAATATATATTTAGCCTAATGTTAAATTTATAAAATTAGGCACTGAGAAAAAAAGATGAGAAAATTATCTCTCCATTGAACATTAGAACTTGCAATTAATTTTAGCCAACTGGCAGGAAATTCAGAAGAGGCAAAAAAGAAATACATGCAGCATATTTTGTTGGTATAAAATTTAGCTATAGCCATTATTTAAATAACTTTTAAAGAGATTTAAGTAAATTAAGTGTCAATAGCTAGTAATCATTATGGCGATGTTAACATCTATGCCCAATGAACATTATATTTATGCCATCCATGTGGGCTTGCTCGAGCATTCTAGGATTCAACATGTTGAAGTTTGTTATTAATGTAAGAATAGTTTTGATGGCTAATCAAAGACTAAGCTGCAGTGAATTAAATGTAGATTTATTCCATATAAGTATTCTTAAAATGATGACAACTAGTGCTGTGAAGTTGCTAAGGTGTTAGACTTGCACTGGGGATACTAGAGTTGCCACAGAAGCTCACTGGGTGACTTTGGACCAATTACTCTCTTTTTCTCTCTGTCTAATCTATCTCCGTAGGTTGTTATGGGGAAAAAAATGAGGAGGCAGACTTATAATACTTTGCATTTATCTTCTGAATAAAAAAAATCAAAAAATAAATCTAGTTAACAATCAAATATAGTTAGGTTATAAGACATGAGATTTTCCCCTGCCAGTGGAAATCAATGTTGAGAACCTAATTCTGAATATGAGATTAACCAAGAATTACCAATGGGTGTGACAAAAAGAGAAACTATTCATACTAGAGCACAAGGTTGAAAAAGATACACACTAATTAAAAATATGTTATTTAGTAAATGTCTCTGCAGATCAGTTATTTATTTCAATAACTGGAAAAAAAAACCAAATATCAATGTTTGACCAAAAGTCAGATACGTTTTGAGTAAATATATACCTAAGTGTAGAAATTGGCTATAGGACAGTCATGACATTTTGGATGTAATATTTATTAGTATATTAAATGCTAAATTAACCAGAAATAGTCACAGAAAGTTAAATTAATATAATCTCATTATAGGAATTATAGGACTCTCCCATTCCAATATTTTCTAAGATATATGATAGTCTTACAGAAGATACCTTTTTGGTTTACATAGCAATAAAACAGAATCAAGATGATTGTTAGGTACAGCATACATATTTCTGGAAAAAAAACATATAAGCAAACTTTTGTGAATAATATTTTGATGTTAATTAGAATGATAAAATTAAATCCAAGTGAGGCTTTGAAACAACTTTCTGTAGGAGTATTTCCTTACCTAAAATGTTGGTCCACGTTACACAATGCTGGATGAATGATGTTCATCCCAATGGTTAATTGTGGCCATGAGGCAATCACCTGCATCTGCCTGCTTGCACTTCTATGCTATATAAAACAGTAAAGAAATTCTATTATAATCTCCCAAAACAGTACTTCAGAACAGCCTTCTCAACTTTTCAGAAAAAGCAAGAATGTAATCATCATTACAACTGACTCTAGCCTCATTTACATGGAGAATTCATTTTTTTCATTATGGAAAAATAAATTCTATAATTTTTTTCCTTATAGCCAGGTTAATATGCTATCCTGTTATATCTGAGACAGGAGGCAAGCAGACTGATATAAACTGTGCTGCCCCCATAGTTATCTCATGTTACTGGCCTCACGCTGTTCTGGCATTTGGGGTCATCTCTTTCTGCGCCCTTCCTGGGGAGAACTAAATGGATTACTGTAGTAATTGTTTATCTTCAATAACTATAATTTGTGTTAAGAAGGCAATTTCAGTTTTAAAAAATTAGAAAATGCATTTTAAAACAAATTACATCTAATTGACACTGTCTGATAAACTAAGCACAATTTTCTCTCAAAGTCTGTTTGCATACTCCAATTTGCAATGGATTATTCCTTCATTTGCACCTTTTCAAAACCTGCCAGGACAAACAGTAGTCACCCTATTAGATGTATTCTTTCATGATGAAAATGTATATGTCTATGCCTTTGCATATACATATGTATATGTCAACATAATACCGTACAATGGCACTGTTAAAAAGATAGCACCATTAACCTTTGTAACATGCTAGCAATAAAAGACATAGAAAATGAAAGCACCCAAGTATCGTCTTTACTCATCTTCAAGATGCACTGACCAGAATGTGTGTGTGGGAAAATGCAGTTATGTCTAGCAGCTGTACAAGTGTTTACAAACAGCTGCGTGAAGCATACCCACACACATGGAATTTTACATCAAGCAGATTTTCAGTTCGTAATGAATCACAGACTATGGGTGAACTGCTGTCAATGGCTTATTTAGGCTACTGCTTGACTTTTTCTTTTTTCTCCATGAGCCCCAGGGAGGCCTCCCTGTCACTTCTTGGACACTTATTAGGCTACTGACAATATAAATCGCTTTATTGTGTGCATATGTCACACAATAGCACTCAAAACTCACAAGGTTTTGGCCTTATTCGTTTGTTTGCTTGCTTTTTTTTTCTGTTTAGTAACCTACCAGCGATTAAATAAAAACAACAGGTGTCCAGCAAGAGCTTCTAGGCGAGAGATCCCCATTTCATCCCCTCCCTTTTTGGGGTTTACCGTTTTACCTGCATTAAGTCTTCTCTCCTGCGGGGGAGAAATCATGGCAAAGAAGACAGGCGTCAGATGAGCCACACAACGGTCCCAGCCTTCGCTTGCAAAACACGACTTTGAAATTAATTTGCCGCCCCCCCCCCCCGCCTCCGAAGCTATTCTTAGGCTAGCTTACCTGCCTGGCCATCCACCGACAGCCGCCAAGCCAGAGTGCAAAGTAACTACTATTGGGCCGGGAAGCCTGGCAAGGAAAGCTGATCAACCACCAGAAGGAGGCTTCCCATCCCGAGCTAAATCCCCGCCGCTATCCCGGACCTCCCTAGCCAACTGACGCTGCCCAAAGGAGTCCCGGGGCTCCTTCTCTACCTTTCCAATCTCTGCTCCGCGGACTCAGAGACAGGCCCAGGCTTCTGGCGCAGGAGCCAGATCTTCTCGCCTAAAATGATAGCTGCGCCCCTCCCTGCCAACTTACGTCGATCGCCGCTCCTCGTCCGCCGGGATGCAGGCAGCGCAGCGGCTGAGAAGAGAGAGGGGGAGGAGCCGCACGCGACGCCACCGAGACCCACTTCCGCGACTACGGACTGGAGTGGGCGTTGCCGCTTGAGAGCAGTTTCCCCCCGCCCACCGACGTGTTCTTTCCGCGCAGGCGCTTGCCTGATACGGCACCTGGTTGACCCAGATTCTTATCGCCCGCTTCCGCTCCCTTGCGGACGTCGAAGGTAACTACCTTCTTCCCCCCCCCATCCAGGTTTCGCTCCTTATGAAAGGAGGGAAAGACAATAACGCATGCGCAGGGCGCGGGACGTAGGGTGGGGGGAAAAAGGGGAAGGTCGTCACGTGATCGTTGCTACCATTTTGGGCTCGAAGCGGGTTTTGTGGGCGTTTTAAGATGGTAGAAAGTGCAGTTTTGTCACGTTGGGAAGCTTAGCGGGTCGCCTTGGGTTTTTTTTTTTTTTAACGTGGGCGGGGGTTTAGAGTCTGTAAGCAAAGATGCGAAGAAAGGGAAATATGGTGAGGGGTTAATTTTATTTATTTTTATTTTTTTCGTCAAGCATGTACAGATACAAGTGTAAACATAATTATAAATACGTGAAAAGGATACGAATAAAAGAAAAACATTAGGACAGGGACGGTAGGCACGCTGGTGCACCGTTAATTAATTAGTTAATGCGAAACGTGATAGTAAAGGGAATCAAAACGTCAAGACGACTCTCAAGTTTGAAAGGCGGGTTTATTTTTAAAAATTAAAAAAATAATAATAAAAACCACTAAATTGCAGATTTTTTTAAAAAAAAATAAGAACTAAAATGTTGAGTTCCGAGGCTTGCTTGCTCATGAATTAGCTGCAAGCCGTTGCGCTATTCAGTTGTAAAATTATCGCCGGTCATTGAGGTTATAAGAGAACCAGTTTGGCGTCGTGGTTAAGGTGTTAAGACTAGAAAGGAGGAGGCGGTTAGTGTGGTCTTGAGCCGGTCCCTCTCTCTCAGCCCTAAAGTAGCAGGCAATGGCAAGCCGCTTCCGAAAACGTTGCCAAGAAAACCGCAGGGACTAGTCCAGTCATTTGCCAAGAGCCGAGCCTGATTTATAGGCAACCTTCAAAAAAATTGAGGCTGTAGACCAGAGGTTTTCAAACTTGGCAATTTTAAGACTTGTGGACTTCAACTCCCAGAATTGTCCAGCCAGCATAGTTGGCTGGAGAATTCTGGGAGTTGAAGTCCACAAGTCTTAAAGCTGCCGAGTTTGAAGACCTCTGCTGTGGATGTTTGCCCTAGGAGGAAATGAGATCCACCGATAATTAAACTTGTATGAAGGACATTTAGAATTGAGGTATTCACTAATCAAAATAACATAAGTTTGCCTCTATATATAAAAAATATATTTACATAAAACACTTCTATAAAACATCTGCATCTCTATAACTCTGGTTTGGTTCTGCAACCCAACAAGACAGACACAGACTTCAGAGGATAATTAGAACTGCAGAAAAAAAAATGCTACCAACCTGCCTTCCATTGAGGACCTGTATACTGAATGAATCAAAAAGAGGGCTGTAAAAATATTTACAGACCCCTCACATCCTGGACATAAACTCTTTCAACTCCTACCCTCAAAATGGTACTATAGAGCACTGCACACCAGAACAACAAGACACAAGAACAGTTTTTTCCCGAACGCCATCACTCTGCTAAACAAATAATTCCCTCAACACTGTCAAACTATTTACTAAGTCTGCACTACTATTCATCTTCTCATCTTCTCATCGTTGCCATCACACATCTCCTCCCACTTATGACTGTATGACTGTAACCATGTTGCTTGTATCCTTACGATTTATATTGATATTGTTTCCTGGTTGCTTATTTGTAACCTATGACTATCATTAAGTGTTGTACCTTATGATTCTTGATGAACGTATCTTTATTTTATGTACACCAAGACAAATTCCTTTTTGTGTCCAATCACACTTGGACAATAAAAAATTCTATTCTATTCTATATGTGAAAAAATATATATTGCATAAACTAGATCTTTCTACTGCACAAAAATATTGAAGATATTTCATATTCTAACGTGGAGTCTTCATTGCTGAAGTGTGAGTTGCAAACAGGATTGGCATGCATTAGACATTGGTTTCATTCAAATCTTGAAAACCTTGCAACTGATTTATTAGGTACAAACGTACATCTTTTTGCAGATGGGAGTATTTTCATCTTCATCTGTGTCAAGGTGAAATCTTTTAAATCTTTCTTGCAGATCTAATAGATACCAAATCTTTTTTTATATACTTCTGCTATTTCTGCCACAGGTTTATGGGGTAGTTATTTCAGAAATACTCATTGGTTCTAAACTATTTCTAAATTTATGACTTTTAAGTTGAGGCCACTTAGTATATTTAGTATAGCAAAAAATAATAATAATAATAATAATTATGGGTATCATTTAATGTTTCTAGCAATGGTGAATGTGGCCCACATTTTATCAGCAAAACTAAGGATAATATACAAATAGCTTCAGAAATATGTTAAAACAAGCATTCTTCTAGAGACAGATAAGAAATTTCCTCTATTTGACCTCTGTAATAGGGAATTGGAATTCTGCAGATGAAAAATCATAATTCTGGAAAGTTTGAATGATTGGCTGTTGCATTGTTTACACTCCTTAGGTTTATGGAAGATGGGATTCTCAAGGATGTTTTTGTCATCAAAGTACCTCCAGTCTCGAGCAGAATCACTTTTGTTTTACTTTGTTGTATGAATCTCTCTCCATTTCGGAGGTGGGGGGGTTTACTTTGTAATTATTACACATTTGTAAGACGTTAGCACCCGCCCCTCTCCTAGAAAAATGAAATATTCTAGGAAATATTAAAAAGGCAGAATATTATACCTCCCTGGTTGAGAAATGGAGAAACATGTTTTTTAGGCAGGAAGCAGACTCACTTTCAATAGTCCATAGCAGATGTCAGCACTTAAGAGATAAAGAGATAGCTTGATCGATTCATAAGCAAATGCCACCCAAGATCCAACAAAGGTAGGATTAGCCCTCAACCATAATAGGAATTGCCTAAAACCCTCTTCATTACATCATCACCCAGCAAGATTCAACCAGGCCTGGGACTCAAAAGACAACCTACAAAATTTCCCCTGCATGGGTCCATGGGAGTCTGACAACCAATCAGAATACAAGCTCAAATTCAAAGTCCCAATAGAGGGTATAAATGTGTCTCTCTCACCCATGTGCATTTTTGCCCAGGACCTCAAAACCATTGGTCCTGTCCACTGTTAAACCTTCTTTTCAAGCAGTCTCCACGTTTCCAGTGCCTTTCTCCCCACTTGGAACTGAACCCAGATGGACATTTCTTCTGACACATTTAAAAGGTAGGTGAATATTTATATAGGTTTCTGTGTTGCTCCAGTCAGAATAGCTAAATTTATACACTCATCTCTGAACTGTGAGGAGCTTCAGTAGTGCCAGTACTTGGCTTTCCTTGGAAGCAGGTCATGAAAAACAATATTTATTTATACAGATATACATGCTGAGCATAAAATGAGGGTTTATTAGTTACAGATTTCTAGGACATTCTGCAGTGTCCTAGGATTTCTTACAGAATAGCCTCATTTTATTCTTCTAACACTTTTTTTAAAAAAAGAGAAATACATTGTCCCAGGAACTTACTCTTGAATTTTGAGATTGGGAAAAACTCTACTTCCTACTGCAAATACATTTGCAACAAAGAATTTCCTTGACATTCTCAATGATGTATCTTTTGGTACAAGTCATAGAATGGGGTGTTTTTGCAAACTACAAAATAGACAGGTCTTAGTAATACAAATGCACATTATTGGCCTGGAGTAGGAAAGCAATGTACGCTTGTGCAAAATTGTATCATTTTATTCTACTTACCAATAGAATTAATTTCAACTATCAATTCAATTCTTGATAACTAAATCTTACCATAATTAGATACTGCAGTTCTACTGGGTTAGAATTGCCAAAGAGGCAGAAATGGGAACAACATCAATATCTTTAAAGTAGGTTAGTATGTCACATTCAAGAAGGTGCCTAATAGAGTTATTAGTCACCAAGCAGTTTTCAGTACCGTGTGACTAGAAATATTCTTCAAGGGGTTTAGGCAATTTGTTTTGTTCTTTATTTTTAGAATAAACAATTGCTTCTCTTTTTTTAAAAAAAATCACCTAGGCAAGTATTTGGATTGCTTGTCAAGATTTAAAATATCCAACCTTGTAGAAATTCTGAATAGCTTTTTAGAAAAAAATAAAGTCAGGTTTTATTTGTAAAATTGATGTTATTTGTCTTGACCTGTTTTTGAAAATAATTGCCATATTTTCCCATATTTTAAAATAGATTAGGTTGGCAAGCAAATAATAATATAGTTCTCGAGTATATCAGTGCAAGAAATGCAGCATTTGAAGTTAAAAAGCTTAGGAATATGTGAGAGATGTCTCTTCACTCACAGAAGTCAGAGTAAATTTAATTATTCTAAGATTTATAAGGCAACCCAACTCAGACATCTGACTCTAGGTATCATGTAACATAAAAGCAAACAAAAAAAGAAGTGAAAAACTCATATAATAATAAGCAAGATAAATATAGAATGATGACTAAATTTCTCATTTCACTTGAAGATGAGTTACCTGTGATATACACAGTTCCATCTCTTCTATAATGTTTAGGTCTCTTTAATCTGTCCTCTAATACTTTAACTGAGGGAACTTTCACACTGCCATTGTTTTCATTCTTGAAAACTTCAGAAGTTCTTTGAATAGTAGTTGTCTTCTGTTAGCTTGAAATATCAAGAATAATGGAAATAATCTCCCTGGCCCAAGCTACTTCAGGTTCAAACGCGATAAAAAGCCATGTACCTTCAATTTCAAAAGAGAGAGGAGAAAAGGGAGAAAGTATTCAGTAGCCTGGGACCACTTAATTAACACATGACCTGAAAAGAGATGTACAGCTGTTTTAATGATATTCAAATGGAAATCTGCAAAAGAAAGAAAAAGGACACAACTGCTTTAATAAAATCTGAAAGATGCTGTGCTCATTTGAGGTCAGAAGCATTTTTGATTAATTTTCAATATGTCTTCTGCCCTATTTTCAAATAAACCATCTTAGCTTTTCGGTTCTGCTGATATTAGGAACCCAGAGATTCAGAACTGCTTTAATCTGGCATAGAATACTCGTAAACGTTTCCTAACTTTTCTTCCATTCAACAATTCATCTAGACTTTGTTGTTTTTCTGTTATTTTCCTGTTATGAATAGTAATGCTGTGTTAGGCCACAGGAGGGTACTGCCATATTATTAATGTAATTAGGCAATTTTTCAATGCTGCTACAGTAAAAACATAAGTAATTTTTAACAAAAAGTTCCAGATGCAAGACAACAAAGTGTTTATATCAAACAGCTTTGCATAAGCAGCCAAATTTGATTTATAGTGTCTGTCTCTTGTTTCACCATCTCTGTTAAAGGGAATTCTCGATTATCACCTACTTTTCCATAGCTATTAGCACATTCATTTTTTTACTATACTATTAAAATTGCCACATTCTAATTGCCAAACTCTAACAAAGGATGCTGTAATAGGTGGAAACCAGTAGATGTCAGTGTTATGTTTTAGTTAGTACACTTATAGCTAGCAATTACTCTGCTTTTGCTTTATAATCACTAAGAAAAAGTTGGAAGCCGGAAAGGATCTATTCTTTGTGACAACTAGACCAATCATTAAATCAAAAAGAAATTCAGAATAATGCAAATAACTAGCTTGAGATTGGAAAGTGGATCTCATAAAGACTGATATAGTATGCTAGGTGTTACATCATATGAGATGAACATGCAACATAAAACATACAGTAAAATGATAGCCCAGGTCGAGACCTACTCTGTAAAAACATAAAAACATTTACAGCCGCTTGCAACGTCCTGCAGTGACATTAACCACAGTGACATTTTATAATGGTTTTGCCAAACACCAGCAGATACTTCTGGTTTTCAGCAAAACTGAACCCATAGCAAAACCGTTGCTTCACTTAATGACAATGGCATTTACTTAATGTCTGCAACAAAAAAAAATTGTAAAATTGGCTCGGGCACATTGGCAACCCGTTTTAAGACTGTAACGAGTTACAACCATAATGGGCAAGCTCCATTACAGTCACAACTTGAAAACTACACATATTTCATATATTGCACCTGTAGGCAGTGTAAGAATAAAGGTATAATCAACATGTTTGTGCACATCTAACCCATAAGAAGTCCTCAAGCATCTAACCCATAAGAAGTCCTTTAAAAACCTTTATTGATAGGTATCATATTATGTGGCATCACTGGGGATATATGGATGATAGTGAATTTATCACTATCAGTTGTATTCAGTTGAAGTCTTTTATCAGTTGTATTCTGTTGAAGTCTTTTCTCACATTGTAGTGGGGGAGACAAGCCTCTTATTGTCTGGTTTGTGGGGTTGTTTTTTTTTTTTTTTGAGATCTGACCTTGCTGCTGCTTTTTTTAATTCAAATAATAAAAATCAAAACTTTTAAAATAGTTAAAGTGTTTTATAGAAGATTGTTATTTTTTTGTGTGAACCAAAAATATTTGCTTGGAAGAAAAAAATGTATGTAAACAGCTAGTTTAGCCCTGAACAACTGAAAACAAACAAACAAACAAAAATAAATAAATGATTTTCCTACATATGATTGAATTGATAAGGTTGCGACAGAAGTTAGGAGTAGTTAATTTATTATGTTTTTCATAAATTCATACAGTTTTAGATTTAGTCAGCTAACTAACACAGTATCAGGCTCCAAAAACCAAGAAAGGTATGCTGAGGTTCTTCTAAAGAGTTTCCTTTACTGTTCTACACCTATAGATAGAAATATTGCAAAACTGAACTAAAAACTAATGCAAATTACTTGCATCATTAAAGGTGTGCTTGAGAACTCTTAGGAAGGAGCTGTTCTGACTCTTTTTGTCCCACTAAAACTTCAGTCTTTTGTTCCTTTGGAATGCACTCAGACTCTCCTGGGAATCCAGACTGCCTTCCGCCACATGCAGTTTGCAAAATTTCATTGCACAATTTTTTCAGGTTGAGAAGCTAGGTGACTGTATGATGGATCCTATGCAAAACTCAGATATCTCTTAAATCTCTTAATCCCAAAATGGAGTAAGCAGATTTGGTCTAATAGCTAGAACTATTCTTATATATGAGGATAAAGCTGTAGATTTCTACATTCTGCCTCCCCTACCACCACCACCAAAAAAAAAAAAAAAAAACCATAGCAATTTTCCTATGGATATTTTTGTTTTTTTGGCATTGTTGCTCTTGTGCTACATCCATAACATTATATCTGAGCAATTTTTTTTTAGGGATTAGATGAATGCACAAAAAAAGTCAATCAAATATATTAGTCAATTGTAGCAGATCTCCTAAGAAGAAAAAGTACAGTGAATGAGCTTTGACCAGATAGTTATAATAAATTAAAATATTAGAGGAAATGTGGATAAAGATAACCTTATCTCAATCTCTCATGGTGTTTGCATCAATTAAGCCATAAAAGTTTATTCAAACTTCCATATATGTAATGATAAACCTTGTCATATATAAAAACAAAATTTCATGACTTTCTTCTGATTGCATCTCTGCTAGTCCCAGAAGAAAATTATCTGGTTTCAGTGTTACTTTAAAATCTTCTGAATTAGTGTATGTATTTTCCTCCAAAATGTTTTAGCTTTTTTACATGTCCATCAAACATGATAAAAGGTCCTTTCATGTTGTTTAGATTTCCAGCAAAGATTTGTACCATTATGCATTCTAAACAATTTTTGGATGATAAATATCAATGATACATAATTTTACAAAAATTATTTTTAAAACTAGAACATAATGTGGATTTCACTCTTTTCAACCACATATTTTCCCGTTTATCCGTGTTATTATACAGTCTTTCACTTGTTTTTCTTCTGTCTCATATTTCAGCAAATACTTATATATTTTAACAATAACGTGTTCATCATTAGTACATAATTATAAAATCTTTTATCCACTTTAAATCTTTCTGTTAATTGTACATAAAAAAACTATTGACAAGAATATCTTTCTATTATCAAATCTTCTCTTGATTTCATTTTAAAATCCCCTTGAGAAAATTCTAGGTAGGGTCTCATTTCTTGATTTTAGAATGTTTCTTGAGGTGAAAATTATAAAGGTGTTTTGGGACAAAGCCTTGAGTTTATATTTATTCTATATTCTAAGAACAGCTTGCCCAACATAATGATGATTTAAGTCTACATTCGGTTTTATCATACCATATCATGTCACCCAAATCTCAGATCATGACTTTCCAAATTCAATAAAGTTCTATTTCTTAACACTACCCACTATTTCATCCCAACTTTAATGATTTACTCTTTCCTAATTGTTTCTGAGAGTTCCCTTATCAATATAGATCCATAAGTTTTCTCTGTATGTAAAAAAAAATCTTAGTAGATTTTTTAAAAAGATATTTTCTATATCAGTCTGTTTTAAACAACAATCACAGTTGAATTTTTGACACAGCTGAATTTTGAGAGTCCTTTCACTTAAATTGACTAAACATACATTGTTTATGGTGATGATTCTGTTGACCCCCTAGAAAAGTGAGGTGATTGTCATCTGGGAGTCCCTTATGGTCTTCATAGGTGCTATGCTATAGATTTTCAGATTTGAATCCCTGTTCATTAAGTTGGGTTCTAGTGATCAGACAAGATTGTTGCTGTTGTACTAGCCTCTCTTCTGCATAGCATTTTCTTACCTGCTGTTCCTTGAGTCCATTTCTGGGTTGGTGATGGGAGTTCTTCAGATTTACAGTTTTGGGGAAAACTTTAATCTGCCTTTCCTAGGAATGGAGTCTGAGATGGCTTGGGAGTTCATGGTCTTCATGACAGCTGTGGGCCTATCCGTAGGTCATCCAGAGCCCGATACAGGATAGCAGACATATTCTGGATATGGTATTCATATCAGAGTAGATTTAGTACCATTTTCCTTCCACCCTTTCCCCCAAATCGAAGGAACAGTGGGCATCTGTTTATCTCAAGAAATAGAAAAGACTGCCAGGATTTGATTCAAGAGACAAAAGTATGGGGGGTATTGTTCCTTTTTTTAAGCAGTTTGTCCCATTGGTGGCAGAAGTATATAGCAAATGGTGGTCATTGCATGAAGAAATAAATACTGATAACAAAATGATTCATTTCAAGAATAATTTGTCTGTTTTATTAATTACAGTATCACTAATTAAATTAAAATTGTGAAAGTAGAGACGTTGCTTTTCATTAACCTTCATATATTACTTTTTATAATTTTCTTTTTTTTATTTTATAAACAAACAAACAATACATAATCAATCATTCAGTGTATCTTCTGAATACATCTTTTGTGTCTTCTTTTTACTCCTCCAGTATTTATCATATCTTAATATTATCATTTCCTTTATTATAACATTTCCCCCCCATTTCTTACTTCTCTATTAATACATTTATCTTTTAATTTTATTAAAAATTAGACAACAATTTTATCCCCACATAACTTTCAACCCCCCCCCTCCCCACATCCCCCTGGACTTCCCAGAGCAAAAACAGGGTATAACATTAAACAAGCATAAGCTAAAATATGCTAACTTACTACAAGATTCAAAACTCCCTCACACTCTTTAACTCCTCTTTTAAAAATTATTCATTAACCTCCCCTTTATAAATTCTCTTATCACATTTCACATTTGTTACTAAAATCCTTTCCATACCTTCTTTTTCAGCATTACTCCCTAATAAAATTCTAAATTAAACATTTATCCTCTTTGGTCATTCATAAACCACTTGCCAATTTCTGTTTATTCAACATTACTCCCTTGTAAAATTCTAAATTAAACATTTTAAAACTTTCTTTAAAGCATGTCTTTTTTTAAAAAAAATATTATTATTTTAGGTTAAACATTTTAAAATCTCTTAATACCTCAATAAGACATTCTTCAAAATATAAGTTTCAAAACTTTTTTAAAAGGCTATCCATTCAATTTTAAATTAACCATTTTAATACTTCAGTAAGTTTTAAAAAGCTATCCAATTTTAATTAAACCTTTTTACTTCAATAAAACATTCTTCAGAATATAACCTTAAAGATACTGTTAATCCATTGAGTTAAATTATTTCTAACTCTTGAGTTCATTCTTCAAAATATAAATTTCAAAACTTTCAGGAAGCTATCCATTAACGTTAAAGTTAACCGTTTTAATACCTCGATAACTTTTAAAAAGCTATCCATTTTTAGTTAAACATTTTTACTTAAACTTAAAAGATACTAATTTCAGTAAGCTTTTCAGATTTATTACTAAGATCCTTCCCAAAAGAAATTAATCTTCCATTCTTCCTTTCTTTCTATATTTTTTCCAGTCCTTCTTCTTCAATAATACTTTCTTCTTCAGCATTGCTCCTCCCCCTGCTTTTATTTTTGAAAATTTTTGAATTTGGATTTGAGGCTGATGTATCTTTGGAATTTGTTCTCTTCTTAGAATTATTTCCTTTAATTTGGAACCTCCATTTCGACTCTTCCTGCTTGTATAATCAGTCACTTCATTCCTTAAAGATTGATTCTGTCTGTAAAGCCAAGAATTGTCACGGTAAAATTTGTCAGGAAAGAGTCTATTTACTGCTTTTCAGTTAATTGCACAGAAGCCTCTACCAAAACCTCTGTTTCCTGTGTGCTAACTTCCATCTTAATCCTGACAGCCTCTTTTTCCTCCTCCAAAGTCACATTAGCCTGGTTAATTTCTTCCTGTTTTCCAGCCAGCAAATCATTGTTATTCTCCAAATTTTGATTTTGAACAGTCCTTTTAATTGATTCTAATATAACAGAAGTATGAAAATTTAAGAGTTCTTGTAAGATCTTTACAGTCACAACTTGTGAGTTTGCTGGCTCATACAATAATGATCCTCCATCCTTGATATCAGCCATATTTCAATTTTCACTTTAAATTTATTCAGCTATCAGGTCAATAAGTCCAATTATTTTCCACACAATTTAGAAATATAAATTAGTTGAGGTCAATACCATAGTCTTTTCCATTCCACTACCACTTTAAATCTTTTTCTTGATGTGTAATCCAGTAACTTTAACAATGTTGCTAGCGTTAACAATCACTTTCACTAATAAGTTTCGTTTTCACGCCCTTAGGTGCCATCTTTTTTTTTCCTTTTAAACGGAGTTAAAGTTCAGTACTTGCATTTTTTGTTCTCCTGATTTTGCTCTGCCAGCATCCAGGGTCGAAGTTTCTTATAATCCTTAAAATTGCATTGCTGGTGTGGTCGCGACCCCTTGTTCTGCATAAAGCAGACTTGTCCCGGATCTGGAGCACTGAAGGGCTTTCAGGGAGCTCTCACCTTGCAAACCCCAGGCTTAAAAAAAACCCCTGGGGGTCTAGGGAAGCTCTACCCAGACCCTTCTGCTCTTCTCTGCCCCTTTTTCCCTGGGGGAAAATGAGTTTCGAGCCGCTAGACAGCTGATTTTCGCTGTTCTAGCAGCAAACGGAATCATGGGACTGGAGCTCCTAAAGGAACGTCCATCGGGGATCGCGGAGCCACCGGAAGTCACTTTTTATAATTTTCTTGAGGACGGGCAGGGTGCCTAGAAGTAACTCTTGTTAAATTACCTTTCTGTGTGTTTTCCCCACAAAAAACAGAATTTCAAATAATTAAAAAGTTTTTTTTTAAAGTGCCAAAAACATGGTTTGTGCAGATGCAGAACAATTGGATACTGTCCATGATATCCATCCCATCATTCATCTTTTTCAGATGATTGTGCTGATGAAGCATATTTTGAAGTGCTCGAGAATCTCTGAAACTGACCTGGAATTCAAGGATTTGTCTCTGCTTCTTTTCTTAAGGCTTTGAGTGAAAGTTCATATCCAAGGAATGTGGCAGCACTTACAGGGAATCCTCGCACTGTATTCACTGTAAGACCTCTGAAAAAGACCTGGTTATAAGAAAAAAGAAAATGTTATGTCTGTCAGATATTTTTTGAAGAAATTATTTGAACAGGAAAGGAAAACCAGATATCAGAAAGGTCTATTTTGTCATCATTGTTTTATAGGAAACACAAAGAGTGGGCTCAGCTAAATGACTTTCCACAAGTTTCTGCATTGTATGTATTGACATTAAATACCTGTCCTTTTAACATCCGATATTACAATTACAAGGATAAAACATACAACCTATAATCCTACACAAAGAATACAAGGAGAGCCAGTTGATAAATTCTGTGCAGTGGAACTACATCAGGATCAAAGGTTCCCCACAATGAGGTTTCTAATTGCTCAGACACTCAAGGATCTGAAAATACCGTGGATACGTGACTATTTTGCCAGTACTGCAAATGGGAATGCAAGCTTGATGGTACCTTTCTATATTCACCTATACCTTCCCTTTATTAACCCTGCAATAACAAGTTCTTCTAGGCTTCCAAATTTTTTCAATATAGGGCACTCCAAGGCTGTTGTCTTCAGGCTTAGAAATTGTTGTCTGAGCAGTATTCAGATTTCATAAAATTCAGTCTCCTTAAAGAACTTTCCTTATCAATGTTCTGTCCCATTTCAGGATTGGTTTCAGATCTTATGTGAGATGTAGAATCCATCTATTTCTGTTTTGGTTCTGCAGACATTGCGCTCTGGTTTTCCATCGGTGTGGATTCTTCCCATAATCTATTTCCCAAGGACCAGCTCAAGCTAGTCTTACTATTTTCCTCCTATATTGTGATTCAGCATCCTATTCCTGAAGCTTTTCTTCTTTTTTTATTCAAAGAAATATAGTAAATCCATTTGGTATAGTATCATAAACCCATAGTCCGAATTATTGGGAAAAAGAGTTCAGTACAAAATTACTGCTACAGTAAAATTTCATCTTCACAACTCACAGTTCTTTTAATGTAAAAGAGGAAATGTGTCAAAATTTCTGGGAAGCTTTGAAAAATTTCAGTGTTTGTAAAAATGTGAATAAATGTTTCTCGTATCAGACCTTTCATAGTACATTTCCCATTTGCTTACAAGCATGTGTGTGTGTGTGTACACACACATACCACCTTTGAGAGAAACAATCATAAGCATTCTGGGTTTAAAATAGAGATGCACCAATCAGGGGTGGGTTCTAAATGTTTTTACTACCGGTTCTGTGGGTGTGGCTTATTTTGTGGGTGTGGCTTGGAGGTCATGTGACTAGGCGGGTGTGGCTAGCTGGTCAGAGTCATTTCTGGAAGGTCCTCGCACTTATGACCAGTCCTCGCACTTACGACCCGACTCATTTGTTTGCTTTTAACACTGATCAGCTGTAGGACGGCCCTTTGAAGCCCCGTGGCAAGAGTTTAAACAGTTTTTTTCCCTCTAGTCATCAGCTGGGACTCAGGAGGCAGCAACAGATTGGGGGTGGGACCAAATAAAAGGTCAGAATAACGTGGGGGGGGAGGGTGGGGGGGGAGAACTGGTTTGGTGATGTCATATCGTCACCGCTACTGGCTCGGCCGAACCGGACCGAACCGGGAGGAACCCACCACTGGCACCATGCACAAAACTGAAATATTTTAACGTTTATATATAAAAAGTTGGTTTCAGGACTCACAAGGAGACTGTAGAAATGAAGGAAGATTAGTTATGGAGATATTGACTACATAGCTCAATAGTGATACCAGGGTGAAAAGTCCTTCTTCAAGAGACCTTTTTGAAGATGGTGAAGGTAGTGTTGACAACTTTTTCAGTTACAACATTCTGATTATGAAATTCTCAGAATATGTCAGCAATTACTTGCTCAGATTTTTCTCTAAAATATCCTTTAGATTAGGGGTGGCTGTTTTGGGGGGGTGAGAGTCACACTCAAGAACACAAGCTGAGCAAAGAGAAGGACTTGATCACAGATGTGAAGGAGGCCAAGGTTTTGTGTGTGTGTGTGGGGGGGAATTATGAAAGGGTGTTACAATTCAGGAGAGTTGTTTTACTTATTCTCTTTTTTTAAAAAAAATATGCTTAGGTCCTGCTTTCTAGTGTTTCTTATTTTGGGGGGGATTGTGTGTGTGTATGTGTGCAGGGGTTAATTTACTGCCTCAAAATTGTAAGAAGCAATGTCTCCATGTTTCTGATTTTCAGTAGAGACTAATTATCAAAAGGTTGTGAGGTCCTGAGGGCATAGGGGAAGTGAAGTGAAGATAAAAAAGAGAAGCAGCTACCCTCAGGACAGAGCAAGTATAAATCAGATGTAGACATAATATTAGAAATAACTCTGTAAACCACATCATAAATATTGTTGCTGTGACTTGTTTGATGAATCACTGTAACCAAAATATGAGCCAGAAAGCAATATTTTGCCCTCAAAAAGGTTCAGATTAAAACCATGATGCTGCAAAGTGATCAGGATGAGATTAGCATCTTTGTCTTCCATATACAAATCCAGTCACCTGTTCTCTTCCCCCCCCTCGCTCCCTCCCTCCCTGTCTTCTCTCCTGTGGGAATTCAGGAGGAGGCAGCTATATTTTCAGGTACATACCAATTTTACTCAGCCTGGTGAATTCTACTACTTAGAATTCCAAAGTAAACATGCTGAAAAGGATTTCTAGAATATTTAGTCCAAAATATCCAGAATGCCTTTGAATGATGAAGATCATCCATCCATCCAAAATTAAACTTAAGTTTTTCAAGGCCATTGACTGCCAGACAGGTACAATCATGTTATTTTAGACAAACAATCTATCATATTCCATGTTAGGATTTGTCTAGCAGGGAAATGGCATTCTTCCACCAAGAAAAAGATTAAACGATCTTGTGAATGCCTGCAGACAGTGAGAAACTGGCTTTGGAAATGCCCATGGAGATATAACAGCAAGATTTGATATATGTAAATTGATATAACGTGATGACTGAGACAAACATTGAGACTTTCAATGTAAATTCATATTGATACTATTGAACCAACTACTATGCCTGCAGAAAAATACTTGTGGAGTGTAATAGTATAAAATGTCTGAGCTGTATTTTGAATTATAAATGGGTTCATAGCAAGATTGAATAGATGGAGCAGGATTGAAAATACAAGAATAACTGTTTGAAAAATAAGTTATTTTGAAAAATAATTTATTAAGTTTTGGGACTTAAGGCCATAACTCCATTGATAGATTGTACAAGGTATTCCCAACTGATGCTATCAGCAGAATAGAAGACTTGGATTTATAGATCCAAGTATTTAAAATACCGTGGTTGAATGTATACAAAATGAGATACTTCCTCAAAAAAAACCCCTAATTTATGAATATCATATGAAAGAAAACGGGAATATTTAGGAAACATGATATACAATGAGAAATATCAACTACTTCCACTAATTACGGAAGGGAAAAAATCAAGGGAAAATGATATGCACCTTTTATATTTGGACAAAAAAAAAGTAGTCTTATTTTTGTTAATAAGATCAAAAGACAAATAGAACTATGATCGCGATATTCCATTGCTTTGCTTCAAACATGTAGTCATCAGCCTTTTCCATTTGCCCAATACAGTTGTGTGAAGCTTTGAAAGGGTGTTTTGCTTCAATGAAGGGTTGTGTAAATCATGCTTTGGAAGCTGCTTCCCAAAGCAACCCTGACCTATCTCCAGTACTTCTTGGGATTGTTCGGCAAGGATTCAGAGTAATGCACATTCCATTCTTGTTGAGAATCTTGTTATTTTGTGATACCAACTATCTCAATGAATGATAATGCTCAAAATACTGCTGGCTGTTTGCATAGGAGGAAGACCTCTAATAGATCATTCCTCCATTTCTATTGCTATACCTGAGTTTGTGAGCTGATATATGAATTTGCATTAAGTCTTCAGCTAACTGGGATGACTTTCTTGAGCATTCCAGGAATTGTTCCAACATAGCAGGAGGACTGAATTGGAACCACTGATCTACTACCAGTAACATGTTGTAAGAAAAAGAGGGAATCCATGTGTGACATCCCTATTGATTTACTTTTAGTTGCCTATATTTTTGTTGCCACCTTCAAAATTCGTATGTTGATATGAGCCAATTCAGAGTCTGAACTTGACTCTGGAGATGTTACTCCAGCTGAGTCTGTGCTTCAGAACTGTCAGCCTCAGGAATCAATAAGCCAGGATTCAATTGAGCCTGATCACTCACAGGCATCTCCTGTTCAATTGGATCCGATGAAGAGGCATAAGCCCCAGGCGTTGGTACATAAAGAAGTAAGCAGAGCAATTTTCCTCAATAAGACTTCTCAGTCAGTGCTGCAGATAGATTTAGTTAGCTCCTGTGCTTGAGTCCTTCTTGTAAACAACCATTTGTCTATCCAGCTCTTGAATTGTGTTCTTGCTTCTTGTTTGTGGCTCTTAATTCTTGGATCACCTGACTACTGATTTGGAGACCTGTGACTTTTGGAATCTATGGACAATGCTATTGCTTCTTGGGTTGTGTTCAGCTTCCTTCAGGCAAGCATTTTATACTAAGAATTTCAATCGTATTCCTATGTGCTATTATCTGTCTAAAGTGCAGCAAATATTCCTCTAAAGTGCTGGGTTTCTTTCAGGGGTTGGTTCTACTTACCTTTGCTACCGGTTCGTAACGGGGCTGCGCATGAGAGAGAGCATGCGCAGAAGCATCCTGATGACGTCGGGGTTGGTGGGCAGAGCCTCCCGCTGGTTTTACTACTGGTTCTATAGAACTGGTCCGACCGGGGGCAACCCACTACTGGTTTGTTTGTGTGTCAGCGATCTTGAAATATATTTTTGCTTGAGATGCAGCAATTGAATAAATCAATTGAGTAACATGGTGTGGCAGTACTGCTTCAAATGAGATAATGAATGAGACTTCTTAGTGGTACTGATTCCATTTAGCTATTTTGATCTCATAGCTGCTGCTAGACCTATCCTACAGGTTCTGCTATATTTATATATCTTTTTAAAATTACGAAATTTATTCCCTCTATTTCTATATATTTGATTATCAACGCAGCTTACAATAAAAGGTCTAAATATAAAGAAGCAGAAAAACGTTAATAAAATTAAATCCATATAAAATATATTTAAATTACCCTTTAAAAACACCTGAGAAACTGGCCAGAATTCTAGTCATTATATTTTGACCAGAAATGTTATGGTATAATTTTACTGAATTTTTTTCGGTATATCTATGGTATATTTATCAATATCCATTGGTGGGTTGGATGGTAAAGGGAAAGCATTTTTGTATCACTTTTTTTCTACACAATATTCATGCATACCTAAAATTTGTGGTGTGATGACGTTTTTGTCATTCTGACCCCACGTGCTCGTCCACTTCCCATGGATAATTTATTCATACTAAGTTTGTTACCAATAATGAGGTGGCATTCTCAAAAGGTTAGTGCTTACTTTTAGACCTTCAGTGTTGTAACTTTGATAGATACAGTCAATGACTCCTTTGTATTTGTTTAAGTAAACTCCATCTGCTTGGAGACGGCATTTCACAACATCCATAGGAGTTGCTGTTCCCCAAGATATGATTCCTAGGGAGAAATTGGTAGATGTTAGTCATTAGCTAGACAATACATTTTGAATTCATGTATGAAACCAAATAGCTGGGTTGGGATGAAGGAGAAATTCTTAAAAATGGGGGATCGGGGATTTGTAAAAGCAAAACATTGTGTTTTTGAAGCATTTTTGCTAAGGTGGGGAAAGAGTGGCAAAATGTTGTTATAGGTAATCCGTGCTTAATGATTACCCTGTTTAAGCAACCATTCAAAGTTATGGCACTGAAAAAGTTACTTTACAACCAACCATCTCGGCATCCCCACAGTCATGTGATCACCATTTGGGCACCTCACAATTGATGGGCAGTTTTGCAACCATTGCAGTGACCCTCAGTGATGTGACTACCCTTGCATGCTTCACAGCTGGTTTCTGTCAAACGATCAATGGAGAATCTGGCAGTACAATTGCAAGTTGCAATTATATGATGTCTCTCTTAATGGTGGTAGGTGATGCATTTAATGACAGTAGTGAGGTCATTAGTCCATCACGGTCACCATTAATTACTTGCTGTTTGGAAATATTCCTGCCATCAGTGTGCCCCAGCATTAGACTAGAACCATATATATTTATGTTTTTATTAAAGTTTTCAATCTTTTAAAATTTAAATTAATAATATTTCCCTTTTAGTTCCTGTATTTCTGACAGGAGATGAGATGAGTCCATCATAGTGAAGTGATGTTTTGCTTATTGATTACATCATTTAGCTATCGAATTGATAGTCCCAATTATGGTCATTAAGCAAAGGCTACTTGTATAATTAACAGAGAATTAATTTATATTGAAATATAGCTAAATGTTCTCTAGAATCTCAACAATACCTCTTTAGATAAGGCTTTATTAGAAAGACCATCTGTTCAAGACTTTAACTTTGTTCCAGTTTCTTGATCAGACTATTTTGTATCGGTTGTGTTCTGCTGGGACACAACCTGAAATGTTTATGCATACTTTTAGAAGGGCACTTGAAATGTTTTGCATATTTCCAGCCATAAAAAACAATAAGAACTCAGAAGAATCTTTAGCTTCCTTGCTTTTTCATACAAGGGCGTTACAAAAAGATGCATCGGTAGTACAAATTGACTGGCACCTTGGAGCCCATCCTATTAAAACAAATGACCAAAGTGATGACTTGGAAAATATTTTTGAAAGCATTCCCTAATGAGGCACTGTTGGGGAAAAAAACCCCATAAAATGTAGTTATTTTAGGTTCTGTTATCAGAAAAATTCTGGAATTCTTCCATCAACAGATAAGTATTTTCAAACTTTTTTGAAAATGCTCATATTTTCAAAATTGACCTTAAACAACATTTTTAGGAATCAACCCCAGAAAAACTAATTTTAAAAGAAGCAACTCTTTTATATTCAGATGGTCCTCAACTTACAACCATTCACTTAGTGACCATTCAAAGTTACAGTGGCACTGAAAAAACTAACTTAATGAGCATCCTCATGGTCACCATCCTCATGATCACATGGTCAAATTTCAGACACTTAACAGTTGCAGTGTTCCGGGGTCATGTGATCACCATTTGAGACCATCTGACAAACCAAGTCAATGGGGAAGATTCACTTAACAACTGTGTTACTAACTTAACAACTGCAGTGATTCACTTAACAACTGTGACAAGCAAACTTGTAAAATGGGGCAAAACTCACTTAATAACTCTCTTGCTTAGCCACAGAAATTTTAGGCTCAATTGTGGTTGTGAGTTGAGGACTACCTGTAAAAGTTTTACATTCAAAATAAGTGAGTGGCATTCAAGCATGGTATAATCTTAGAATTTTGCATACCTCAAACACAATTGCCCCAGAGTTTCAGATAAATGGAGAGTACGTTATAAGTTAACCGATGTTTTGCACATTGCTCTATGTCCGTGAATGTTTTTACAGAGCACTGGCTTAGAGGAATGCAGTTAGGTTGTGCTACTCTTGTGAAATGTTGGAAAAATCTATTCATGTTAACCAATAACTGGCTTTGCTTTTACGTGAGCCAGTGCCAAGGTTTGAAAATAATTGGACAGGTAAAATACTGATTTCAGTGAAACTCGTATTTATCATTCAAAGTAAAGTAGCAGACACAGTAAAAGAGAGAAGTAGTCAAATAGTTTCATGTTATTTTATAAATTAGTAGACCAACCTGCAGTGGCACATATCAGAAATTACCATCCCTCAATAGAAATTGTTACGTGAGAAAAAAACATTGAAAGTCTGGGATTTTCCCCATTTCTGTATTTTAAAAATTAGCTAATCGGGAAAATAAATAATTTTTAAAAAGAGATCTTTTTTTTATTTATATTGGGTTGATGCATGCTATGATAACATTAAATCAAATTTACAACCTTGACCTCAGAGATACTTCTTCCCCTTTTCTAGTAAAACAAAAATAGACCTGATTATGTAAGAAAATATAAGTGGATTCTCCTTTTTAAAGCTAAATAATGTGCATAAATTGCAGCAAAAGGGTGCAAGGCTTATGGATGCTGAGGCATTAAAACAAGGAGATAAGAAGAAAAACAGATGGGTGAAAAGATAATTTTTCCATTTCTGTCTGAATGACCAATTCAAAATGAAACACAAAGAAGAAACTTCCTTGCAAGCATCCAGTGCTGCAGGGAGCAGTCCAGGCCTTGAAAATTTTGTTAAAATAAATTTACATTTTTAACAAGTGTGGTGCTGTCTACCCTCTGAAAGAATTAGCCAAAAACAGTATGTCATATGAAACCTGCCATTCTTACATCCCTTGATCCTCTATTTCTGAGGAAGGTCAGCAAATTCTTCTCTTCCTTCATATCCTTTTATTTTTCACTTTAAAATTGTGACTTTATTCCTACAAAACATTTAAGGGAATTTGGAGGAAAAGGAAATCTTGCTGTGACCCTTAGTGGTGGTATAGTACTTAAAACCTGATGAAGAAGAAGAAGGAGAAGGAGAAGGAGGAGGGGGAGAAGGAGAAGGAGAAAAGAAGAAGAAGAAGAAGAAGAAGAAGAAGAAGAAGAAGAAGAAGAAGAAGAAGAAGAAGAAGAAGAAGAAGAAGAAGAAAGGGAAAAAATGCTTTTCAAGGATATGGAGCACCCCTCCCAAAACCAGGTTTGGGAATTTGTAGCAGTCCTTGATTTTATGGTATAATGAAGATAAACTCAGCACCTGCATTCATTCATTCATGCATACGTAATGCTGCACTAAGAGCTTTAAATAATATTTAAATTTGTTCTAGTCTACCCAAGATGCTAGCCTATAGCCAGTGCATTTATTTAATCATTCCAATGCAAGAGCAAACCAACCATATTAAGGCCCAATATCACGATCTGAATCCTGCCAAATAACACATGGAGAGATAAATTCATACCTGCAATGCCACCAGCCATCCACGCTGCAAAAGGAGTGGGAGAAAGACATTCTTCTGAAGTGATCCAGACAGAAACCAATGCGTAAGGGATAAAGTAGAGGCAGTATCCTGGGACGTCCCTCAGAAGCATGGCAGTCGTACCTCGAAAGAGGCCTGGCAAACCTTCCTGCTGAAGAATGGTAGCAACACAGTGAATTGGACCTCGGTAGGCAGCCTGTACTGAAATGCCAGTTGCTTTGTGCTTCATTTCCAGGTTGGCTAGAGAAGAAGTAAAAGGAGTGTTCAGGATCAGATACAAATAATTCCTCAGAGATTTGCTATGTATATTGGCTTAGGAGGCAGGGGGTGGATTTGTTTTGATTTCTTCTTTCCTGTTGCTTTTTTTCCCCAGCCAAACACACATGGAGGCAATGGGAATTTCATATCACCACTTTATAATAATTAAAAACTGGTTTGCTTATTTATTTACTTTACTTACTTGCTTATGTAGCCACTTATCTCATATAATTATTCTAAGCAGCTCACAACAATCCATATAAACAAGGATGAAAACTTAAGTACCCTTCTTCCCAGGGCCAGACCAGGGGTGAAATGCTACTGATTCGGACCGGTTCTCCCGAACCAGTAGTAATAAATGCTACCAGTTTGAGGGAACCGGTATTTTTAAAAAAATGCTACCGGTTCAGGCGAACCAATATTTCCAACGATCAGCTGTGCCGCGCGATTTATGTTCGCTAGAAAGTAGGAAATCCTGCTTTCTAGCGAATATAAATCAGCGGCACAGCTGTTCTCCCTCCCATCGCTGTTCTACTTACCTTTGAAGACTCAGAAAAAACTTCTTAATCCTTCTTTTTCAGCCTGTGCGGTAGCGCCTGCGATGTATATGTGCGCAAAGTGCATGTTTGGCATGTACTGCGCATGCGCATGCAAAGTGCATGTTTGGCACACACCACGCATGCGCGCACGAAGCAAACCGGTAGCGAAGCGAACCAGTAACAGACTTCAGAGCATTTCACCCCTGGGCCAGACTAACCAGGTTTCCAGCTCAACTCCCATCCTTGCATCCTTGGGCTGGGGGCGGGGAGATGCCAGGTCTTTACCGCCTTCCAGAAACCTAAAAGGGCAGGGATACCTCTACAAGAGGGGAGGCCGTGTCAAAGGTCTGGAATTGCCAGCAGGTATACAACAAATTGATGATTAAGGCCCTTTCTAGATCTAGGTTCACGCTAGTATGATGCCACCAGAAATCAGAAAAAGGAAAATGATTCATGGAATTCAAACACCCACATTTCATCCTTTCATCCCTTTCACTTGAGTTAGAACTGCTTCTAACTAACACATTTCCTCTTAATTTTATATATCAATTGTAGCTATGCAAGTGATAGTATGTTTGTTTTTTCCATGTCTGTTTCTCTTATGTTTTATTTGGTTACTTTCCAAAGAAATCTGATTGTAATTTCTGAAAAATGATGTTAGACTCATGATGGCAAACCTATGGCACGCATGCCAGAGGTGACACAGCGCCCTCCCTAATGGCATGCGAGCTGTCGCCCCAGTTCAGCCCTTCTGCACATGCGCTCACACGTCCTGTTGGCCAGCTGGTCTTCGGGTCTCTGCCATGCATGCGCAGGGAGCGGGGCACATGTGGGGGTGCATGCATATGTACGGGGGGTGGGGTACATGTGGGGACATGTGCGCATGCGCAGGGGCAGGGTGCATGCAGGAGTCCGTGCACACATGTGCAGGGGCTGGGCTGGGCACCTGCCGAGGGCCACACGCACATTGCATTTTGGGGGTTTGGGCATGCGCTTTGGGCACTCGGTCCAGAAAAGCCATCACTGTGCTAGACTATTGACCTGGGCATGGACCATTAAAATTTGTTTTGTACAATGCTATTGGTGGCTCATATTATTTTAAAAAGGTGAATATTTTTAAATAAAGGTCAATAAACTTTTTTTAAATAAATGATATGTGATTTTAACCCAATATGGCAATATTCATACTGAATGAACAAGTGTAATTGCATTGCAACTGTGTTTTATGAGATAAAGGTTTATTTAATAAGTTCAACAATATTGTTTATATACTGAAGGTTGCTAAAGTCAATTCTTTCAGAGATAGCTGGATTATTGCTTTATAGGAATAATTCTATGGAATAATCAATGTGCAGAAAATGCAATAAAATGATGACACATATTTTGTGATAATAGGATGCAAATTCTGCCCATACAGATTTGTGTCCTGCCATTGGATAGAAATATATGTTTTGGGTTTGCTGTCATGATGTCATGACATGTTACATCCTATCCTATCCTATATTATACATAACTGGTATGAGAAAAGAGTGGCCTAGTGGGAAAGATGCTTGCCTCCCATTCAGAAAATTGAGTGTTCAATCCTAGGTAGCAGCAGATGTTTCCTAGGGCGCAAAGAAAAATGTCTGCTGAGAATTCAGCATGAAGTCAGGAAGGGCATCTGACCAGTAAATGTGCAGCTCCATCCAGTTGTCCCAACTCTACCCTAAATTTAGAAATTCCAGGGTGGTAAAGGTAAAAAGGAAGTTTTTTAAACTGGTATGACAAAAAGCAAAGGTACATTCTGGACTTACCCTTGGGAAAAGTCTGTGTCTGCATCTGTAGCCTTATTTTTACTAGGTCAACTGGGCAACCAATTCCTACTGAGAAAGCCCCAGTTACCATGCTTGCTAAAGTTATATCTGTAAGTGCAGGAGGATGGTTAGGTTTCCCATAACGATGTTGGCAAATAAACCTTTGGGTACTGCTGAAGACACCAAATACCAATGAATTATAAGCAGCAATGCTGATTAGTGGGAAAGACATTCCCTTAAAAAAACCAGTAACCTGCAAGAAAAGTAAAAGAGGATGTGAATACAGGTCCACTGGAGTTGGGCAGCCAATACTTTAAATAAATAACATTTGTTTCATTGCCTCTTTAAGATCCAAATGACAGCTTTTTAATAGGTTTTTATTCTTGCTGAAAAACTTGTATTCCACATTCAGGACATTGCCTTACATTTTTAGTTTTTAAAAAACTTATCGGTATACCCATTAAGATTTTAAATTAGCCAATTAGAGGAGACTCTGAAGGGCACAAAATACTTCAAAATCTAAGAATTGAATATTGCTAATGACAGATGTTAGATAAATTTTGCAGTCTATGCACTTTAACAATGTAAAAGAATTGCTTAATAATAGTTCTTCCCACATCTAAAACAGAATGTGTTGTTTACATTAAAATGGAAAAAAGTAGTTTAATAAATAGACATAATTAGAAATTTCTTTCTAAAGGTAAACGTATAGAAAGATCTTCAAGGGATTAATTGAGAACTGGTAGAACCATAGCACTGAGTTAGTTTCTATCATCATCATCATCATCTTCATTTAACGACCCCATAATCCCTTGTGGGTTAGGGGTGGAATCTGGGCAACTAAATGGAGCTAGCAGAGTGTTTTAATGGCCGGATGCCCTTCCTGTCGCCAATGCGGAGTTTTGTTAACTGAGTTTCTATATCTAGCAGAAATAGGTAGCCTATGAGTGTTGCGTAAGAAATTCTGCTCTGTTCCATTGTCAACCGGCTGGACTTAATGGGAACAAATAGTATGTGGAAAGTTGATGAAATATAGAAAATTATAATGAGTTTATTTACTGTGAGCTACATATAGGAACAACATAGAGGATATAAGAAAGAGATTTCTTGGATTCTAGTAAAAAGGCAGATTATGTAGTTACTAGAGAACTTCTGGTTTTCATCCAGACATCCCCTAATTATATTGGGGTATACATTGTATTGGAGAATTATATATTAACTTATTAATCAATGAAGAACTTATTTAAGAATTTCCCTAACATCATTAATTTTTATAACAAAGCAAAAGTTGATATGAACATGTGTTTTTGTGTAAGATCTCTGATTCGTAAGCCATAAAAACATTGATGTACTTAGGAAGAGGTGCTGAGGGCCCTATAGAAACTATAGTGTTTTCAACAACAGAGGTGGGGAAAGTATATATGTTCCTAATTGTCCATATTAATGATCTTTACACAGTCACTATCTTTTTGTATTATATGGCATCATCATATATTCTCTTGTGCTTCTCTAACTTTCCTTTTTCTCTTCATCAGTTGTGCTTTCTTCTGAAGAGATCCAGAAGAAAGGAAGTAGATGTGAAAAAGAAAGAGAAAAATACATATGCTTACCTCTATACAGTACATTCTGGCATTACAACTACTATCTATTAGAAATATATAGGTATTAAAACTGGAAAGCACGAAAACAGACTTCTGTTAATTTTGTTAAGCACCAGGAATTCTTACTTGAAATGTTAGCAGATCTTTCTGAATTCTTTTTGTAATTCTTTTTGTAGTACTCCAGAAATCATATTCTTTGACATTCTTGTTGAAGGCCACTGTCAAGCTCTTGGCAATCCACTTTCATAGAAAGCAAGATTCTCCCAGAGTTTCTTTTAATAAGATTTATTGAAAGAGAACAGAACAAGGTTACAGAGATCTGAGCTACTGGATTGCTTTACCTTAAAACCTAATTTATAGTCACCTAGTTAAAACAGGTCTTTTATTAACAGCAAAAAAAAATCTGTATAAATTGTCAAGGAGGATATGATCTTAATTGACAAGAGAATATCCCACTGGCCAGAATGTCACCTTATTTTAGGTTTTGAATATACTATTATAGGCATATTCTAAGATGACAGGGGAACACTCGGAGTAGAGGACTGCACAAATAATATTGTTTGAAAAAGTTTTGTTTCTTGGATGTGTTTGTGTTTTTGTGATGAAAAATATTTACCATAAGAATTGTCTCTTACAAGGAGCAGAAAAATGCATTAGGCGTGAATTTTGTGAGCTGATCAAGAGCAATGAAATTCCAAAAACTACCCTAGCATAATTCCAAGTGTTGGAAAATGAAACATGTTGTTGTGGCCCGCCAGTGGCCTGCGCGGATTGTGGCTGATCCTGACAACGAGGAGGCTGGTGTGGTATCGTGCCAGCAGCCTGTGCAGCTGGCGCTCGAGTCGGACAGTGAGGAGGTGAAGAGGATGTGGTGCCAGAGGCAGAGACTCAGCCAGGGCCTTCAGAACCTCCAGAGGCTCCTTCAAGTGAAGAGAGTGAAGTGGAGGAGCCTCTCCTCAATCCTTTGGCATGCAGGGCTGCCAAAAGACAGGAGTGGCTACTCAGGAGGAAGTCTCCTCGAGAGTAAGGCTTGAGGTTAATTGGCCACTCCCTTAGCCTATTTAAGTTCGCACACAGATAGCAAACATTGCTGGAAACAACATTTGGTCCTACGTAGACCATTTTGAGAGTGAGTTTTTTGTTACAACTTGGTTTCTGGGCTGATTGCCAACCCTTGTTGGACTTTGTTTAATCTCTGTAATTCATAGCAGGCTGATAAGGACATTGGTGGTTAAAGCCTGCATTTTTAAAGGGGTCTGTTTGTATTAAACAGAGTTTTCGGAACTGTGTGTGTGTGCTACACTTCTTGGGACCCGTAGCTGGGGCAGAACACATGTATAAAACCAGAGTGACAGTGGAAGAACTCCCAAAATGCAGGAAAAATCAACGTAATAAATACACATGGTTTCCAACATCTCTCCTCCACTTAACTGCATGCAATGTGTTTGAAATAAGATGAATGGTTTATAAATACATCAGTAATAAGTACATGAAGATGGTAGGATGACAGATAGAATTTGAATGTAGAAATTGAATTTTATAATAGCGCTTGACATAAAAAAGAATAGGTCAGTTGGAAAGGGAGGGTTAATGTTATAATCAGATGTTGACGTATACACTTAAAAGCATTAATCTAAATATGGAACATTTTGAGAGTATTTCAATAAAGTATGCCCATAGAGTGCTATAGAGTATTGTAGAATACCAAAGATCACTAAGAAATGCAAAATGATGCCATATTGTCCTAGATTTCCAAACTTTCAGAAAGAATGGCAGTATCAGTAATGAAAAGCAGATTGTATCTTTAGAAGTCACTGTGGTATGAATCATGGAATTAGAAGAGGCAATTTAAGCCATCAAGTCCAGCTGCCTGCTGAAAGCAGAGTCCAAATTAAAGTAATGCCATCCTGAAGGATGCCTAGCCTCTACTTGAACTTATTCAGTAAAGGGGAGTCCACTTCTTTATGGGGAATTGATTTTGCTTCTAAAAATTTGTTTTATAGCATTTAATCGGATAATCTATTCCATGTCTTATGCTTTGAAACAATAGAGATGTTCAATGTCTTCTATGTGAATTCTTCCAGGCATTCAACGTGTGTTATTAAGTCCCTCACAATCTTCTCAAGACTGAATGCTCCAGTTTCCTTCCATTGCTTTTCATGAGACATTTTCTCAGGACAACTTCATAGGGAAAAATTGTTTTGTTTCTTTACTTTCATTTTTACACTTCTTTTATTTTTCTATGTTTAATTTTGTTTTGATGAGCTTTTTCTTTTTGTTATTGTTCAAGCAGAAAAATATATCTTCCAGTCAGTCAGTCAGTCAATCAGTCAATCAATCAATCATATAGTACATACTGAAGGTACAATTCCATTCCAGTGAGGAAGAACAAACTGACATAAAGAAAAACTGATAGCAGAAGCTTGTAGAGCAGGTCAGGAGAGTTTCACCTCAGAGTGAGCTTAGTTATATAAGATACTCTAAGAGTAAAAGAAAAAAGAATGAAAAAGATGCATTTTAATATCGGGGAAAACCCCAAACATGCACAAAATGTATGGGCAAGTCATAGTTCTGTTTAAGCTAAAATGAAAGGCTTTGAATTCCCCTTTTATCAGTAAGTCTGCCTTTTGCATAAAATGAAGATAAAAACACAATAGGTACATTGTATGATATTTCTAAACTGGAAAGGGAAATGTTTTATGGATGTTCATGATACAACAGATAATGGATAAGTTTGTATATTTAACTATTAAACTACAGTATGTTGAGTTCACATTATGTGGGAAGCTTGATTGTGTTTTGTGTATACAAGAGACTGTTAAGGATTGCTAATGTAGGTATCTTCATATCTGAAGCAAGAAATCATGGATGATGGAATTAATTTATTTGCTGCCCCTGACTTTGAAATGTCAAGAAAGGGTAATTCAGGTTAAGTTTAGAAATAATTTTTCTAACACTCTCAACTGTTTATGGTAGAGCAGACTGCTCAGGAAATAGTGAAGATTTTCAACTCTACGATAGTTTATGATTCCTGTTCTAAAATACTAGTTACCCAATGGTGAGGAAAAGTTAGGGGCCTTCCAAATGTGACATTATTCCACAGACACATATCACTTAGCAATAGCACCAGGGGTGAAATGCTCCCGGTTCGGACCAGCTTGGGCGAGTAGGTAGCGATGGCGGCAGGCAGTTCGGAGAACCGGTAGCAAAAATCCCTGTCCCCGCCCCCATGCCCAGCTGAGCCACGCGATCATCAGAGCCTTTTTTTCCCTTTTAAATGGCTCTGACCAGCCAAACTCTGACATCCCAGCTGAGTTGCCTGCTAATCACGCAACTCAGCTTGGATCGCCAGAGCCATGTAAAAGAAAAAAAGTTTCTTTTTTCCTCCCCCCTCCCCCCCAGCCTCCAGCTTGCTTACCTTAGTTGCTGATCGCATGACGATCGCAATCCATGCATCAGCAAGCAACTGAATCTCCCTGCCTGCAATCAAGCTCATCGGTGAGCAGCTCTTTCTGCCTGCCTTCCTGCCTTCCTGCCTAGACTTGTGGACTTCAACTCCCAGCAAAGCTGGCTGAGGAATTCTGGGAGTTGAAGTCCACAAGTCTTAAAGTTGCCAAGGTTGGAGACCCCTGTTCTATTGGGTAAGTTTTTTCCCCCTTTGGGAGCTTTAAAAAAAATAGTTAATTGGGTTTTTTTTAGTTGTTCTTTTTTTAGACCTAGCCATTTAAAGTTTAGGAAGTTTTAAATTTAGCTGCTTTTATATAAAAATAAAAATAAAATAAAATAAAATAATATTTGTGCAGCTTTCTGAGATTTAGTGTGTTTCTGTAGTGTTTCACTCTAACTACACAAACACACAAAATCTCACAAAGCTGTATGTGGAATTTTGTGTGTATAAAGTGTGAAAGTTGGGTTTTTGGGCTTTTTGTGGCTGTGTGAGGTTCCTGCTTATTGCGGGCCCATTTTGAGTCTAGCACAGCTGCTTTTACATTGTGGGTGAGCCAGTTGTGTTGTGTTGTGTTTTGTAGGTTAAAAAAGGGCAAAGAAGTGACATTGACTTGGTCATGCCCACCCAGTCACCTTACCACCAAGCCCCGTGCACTAATTAAGCCACGCCCACAGAACCAGTAGCAAAAAATTTTAGATTTCACCCCTAAATAGCACTTAGATTTATACTGCTTCATGGTGCTCTACAGCCCTCTCTAAGCAGAGTCAGCATATTGCCTCCAACAATCTGGGTCCTCATTTTACCAACTAAGGAAGGATGGAAGTCTGAGTCAACCTTGAGACCCATCAGGATCGAACTCCAGGCTGTGGGCAGAGTTAGCCTCAGTATTGCATTCTAACCATTGCACCACCACAGCTCCACATACACCATTATTATTAATACCTTTGAATGGATTCTATTTTCCTTCTGTTTCAGTTGCATGATTTGGCCAAAACTATTGTAACCAAAGCAGGAGAAAGCTGAAATCTGAAAGACTGCTTGCACCCAGCAATAGTGGCATGTGAAGGGGAAACATCATATTCCCTTGAATAGATCTAAACACCTGTCTGGGAGATCCCACAGTCTGCACTGCAAAATGTATGCCAGAGTACTTACTGCCAGAAGAGAACTGAGAAAACTCTGTGTTCAAAATCTTATTTATCCATTAACCGGTCATAATCTCTCTTACAGTTGTAATGAAAAGATTGTTTAATTTACTGTATTTCTATACCATCGTAGATTACTCATGTTATACTACATAGAATACTGATGGGATTAAGAATACATTGTAAAACTACATGAGTTTCCTAGAGAACAGGGAACAAGCAAATTTGAAAAATATTAATAAAGAGCCACACTATACTTCACTTCTTCCTGTGTTTTGGGCATTCAGAAATCCTAAAGGATGTAAACAAGGCGTGATATAAGTGCCCAATATCAATATATTTTCAAATCCACGTTAATTATGAGAGGTTTTGGGGGAAATGAAGCTGTCAATATCATACAAAAAAACTGAATTGTTTTCAGTTCTTCAGAACTTTTCATGGACAATTAACCTAGATCGCATTTGTCATCACAAAGATTTTGAAAGCCATAAATGTTCTATTTGATAGACAATATACAAGCAAAATAGCAAATCAGAATCAATTTTGAGTGTTCTCGCTATATGATCTGAGCATTGATGTGCCATCAGTATATAAATTTGTTGATTAAAATATTAATAGGTGAAGTTTTTCATTTATATAGGGAGTAGTATAGATGGTATTAACCCATGACAGAGAATTTTAGTCGAAGCATTCTCCAAATCTTTTAGATGACTGCATTCCTGTCATAGATTCAAACAATTTTGAAATCCCAGCATTAAACATTTATACAAGTGATACTGGTTTAAAGGAATCTCATCCCCAGTTGAATATTATTTGTCTGGAGACAATGCTTATAAATTAATGCACATCAAAAACTTCCCTTGTTCTCTGTACGTTTATGTTTCACACACAAGAGCATACTTACAGCTTCATTTTTGTATATAGTGCGGATACAGTTAAATGTGTTTCCATAGCCTTGCCCAGCTTGTAAACGAGTCTACAGAAAAATACAATCATGAAATGCAATTACTGAGAGCTTACATTTAACAAACAAAGAACACTTGCATTTTACTCCAATCTATACTTTGTTCCAAAAGAAGAGAAAACAAGGAAATGAAAGAAAAACATGCATTCTATCAAGTGTCTGCCAAAGATAAAAAGTGTAAAATAATAGCTTAATCTTCATTGTCAGCATACTGTGCAAATGAAAAACATGAACTCTGAGTATTATGCAAATTTACTTGATTTATGATTATCATCTTGCTGAATTCTTTTTTATGCACAATTTTGATTCAGAATAATCTATTCAGCTTTCTTAAATATTATGCTTAAACACCTCTTATGGTTGGTAAGTATCTATGCAATGTAGAATTTTGTAGAATCTATAGGTTTGGAGAACTCAATGGATACCCTTCTACATAGAATATCTAGATTAATTACATTTACTATCTAGGTCAAACTCCTGGCCCGTGGGTGGGATGTGTCAGGCGCTGGCCATGCCAACCTCCGGTTTAGCAAAGGGGGGGAAAGTCCCAATACGTCATGTGATGACAATGTGATGCCGCAAGTTTGACACCCCTGATCTAGGTAGCCATCTCTGTATTGGAAAACCAGGTCTGGATACTATTTGTCTAAGGGCTCCTGCCTTGGGCAGGGAGTTGGACCAGAAGACCTCCAAGGTCCCTTCCAATGATTCTATGATCCTCTACAATTATTCATACTCTATGCACATTGCCATCACTTGATAGTTGATCTCTGTTGTAATCCACACTTCTTAAAATTTAGTTGAAGAAAAAACTCCATTATTTATTATAAAAGTCTATTTAATAAAGTCAAGGCATGACATAGATTTCTGGAATTTAAAAAAAACCAACTAAAAATCCCTCTGTGGTATCTACTTCAGGCAATATATATATATATATCCTCCACTACAAATTGTGGAGTGCAATTTGCAAGTGCAAATTATGATGGGCCCTATAGGAAATGATTTGTATTGAACCAGATCACTGTTTTTCCAACTCACTACTTTTTATAGTAACTAGCAGGGGACCTCTAGCTATGAGTCTTACCCAGCCATAATCTGAGACTGAACCTGCAACTTTTTGTAGGCAAATCTTATGCTCTGCCGTTGAGTTTTGCTCATGGCCAAGAGCTCTAATAAAGGAAGCACGCCAAAGCCCTGTGCCAAAATGAATGCTATTTAATATATTGATTCACGGTTTGAAAGGAAGAATAGAATAATTCATAAATAATTGAATTCATTAATTCATTCCAAAACTGAACAAGAATAATTGCCTTACTTAGGCAGAAAATAAAATATGCCCTCACACAAAAGGAAAAGATAAAAATCAAATGCTGAGTGGGGTACATTATCAAAAGAAATACGAGTAAAGTGGTTTTGAGAAATTCATCTCCCATTCTTGCATTATTGCTTTAGTATGCCCTTCCTCATAGCTTGAATTGATAATATGCTTGAACACCATGTTTGGTTTTATTTGTAACACAAAGAAATGTGTTTACTATTAGTACAGTCCTAATTTAAAAATGAATTGGTGAAAATGAAAACAGAGTCAGCGAGGACTGGAAAAATGAAAACGATGTCAGGCGGAAGCTTATAAAGCTAACATAAATGGTGGGAGAAAAACTGTATTGTTAGATCAGGATTGTCAAACTCAAGATCTGTGAGCCGATATAAATATATGCAAAAGATTTGAATTAAGAGATATATGTTTGGGGGTGGAGGAAATGGGTAGATTATGAGTTGAATAAATGCCAAATTAGGATTTATTATATAGTTTTATAGCTGAAGGTTGCTTTGAAATGTATAGTATAGTATAGGGGGGATATAATAATAATGTTAGAAAGAAATGGTTAGCATGTGGGGGGTGGTGTAAAAGGATGGTAAAGTATTATATAATTTGATGTTAATTTGGATTTTACTTTGGAGAAGCCATGGGGGGAGGGGAGGGGAAGGGTGGGGTTAGGGTGGAGGGGGGGAAAATGGGGAAAAATCTGTATTTGAAAAACTTTTTCAATAAAAAAAATAAATAAATCACTGGCAGACGTGCCAGATAAAACTCAAAAAAGATCCGTGAGCCGGATCCAGCACACAGGGTGCTTAGATCTGGCCTACAGGGCCACCATGGAAACAGCAAAGGACCGGTCCACAGTGCCTCTGCCAGTGAAAATGGAGTTTGTGGCCCTCCTGAGCTTCATTTTCACTAGCAAGAGGGTTGCAGGAGGCCGTCAACAGCCAAAAATGGAGCTCGGGAGCCTGTTTTCGCTGGCACAGCGCTTGGGCCACCACAGGTACCCCTGACATGAGTGATGTTGAGCTGGACACACCCACCCTGGCCACGTCCCCCCGAGATCAAACACAACACTGATGCAGCCCTCAATGAAATTGAGTTTGACACTCCTTTATTAGATGCTCAATAAGGTATAAAGTTATAGCGCAGCTATAAATAACAAGTCATCTAAACTGCAAGAATCACATAAAAATCTTGAAGCACTTGCAGATTGATATTTCAACTCAATAACAGAATGCAACGAGCCCTATCAATCAGATTTGCAAATAGAATGCAAATGAGCCCTGCCAATCAGATTGTTTGCCAAGGCGGACATTCTTGCAAATGCATATTCCCTATTTCTTTTGTCATATGCAGAATAACAATAATGAGAATGAGAAGTAGTCTGTGCTCTCATTGGTGGAGAATCCCTGGCTCCCCAAGTCCCAGCTTCCCATGGGGCACTAGTTTTGAAAGGAAATACTCCTGACATATCAGCAATGATTACAGCACAGAGGATGAAGAAATGCCACTCAGCAAGCAGACTACTGCCAGAATGTTTTGTTTCTTTTTTCTTACTGAAGAGAAGATTGGCTGGCATCAAAGTGTTTCTCTTCTTAAGCATCCTAGTTTCTGCAGTGGTTAGGGACAGCTCACAATAATATTGTCTGAAATTGAGCCTGGAAGGGTTAGACAGAAGTTTCATTATCAGAATGTCTCCCCGACCTCTGTAGTCAAGAATCATTTATCCTGGGAGATTCTGAAAACAAGTTCCTCATTCTGAATGGCAAATAATTGCAAGTTAAGACCGATCCTTTCAATGAGTGCAAAATTGGCTATTTTAGAAAAGTTTGATTTAGAATAGAAGACCCAGTTCAAGTTCCTATTCAGCCATAAAACTCTTTTGGTGAATTTGGGCTCATCACCAATTCTCAGCCTAATTTATCTTAGAGAATTATTGTGTGGATAAAAAGGAGGCCTATGTATTTTAGACTCCTTGGATAAATTGTGGGAAAGAAAAGAAGAATTGTTTTCTCAGCAAAATCACTTCACTAGCAGCCATTGCAAAGCCTGTAAACTGCTATCCCTCCCTTTACATATAGACCACTGTACCATTGTGATAGGGAGAAAAGTGCCATGTAGCCGTCACAGTTGGGAAGATTAACCTGGCAGATGTGCATTTCATTGGTTTTACAATAAATATCTGTATTGAGGTGTATCACCATACTAATCCAAATACATACAGTGTTTTGGACCTAGATAGATGTTCTGATAAGCAAAATTGATATAAACTTAATGAATTCCCTGAGGAATAGATAGATAGATAGATAGATAGATAGATAGATAGATAGATAGATGGATGGATGATAGGTCAATCATTGGCAATCTTCAGTCTCAAAAGACTATGGTATCGTGCTCTGATATGAGGTCCTAAAACAACATCTGGTGTGACTAAAAGGTCAATTCGAGAGCGGCAATCCCTTCCACACTGAGGGCAGATACATCCTGTCCCTTGCCCAGCCCCCAGATTTCGCTGGTTCTGGGACTGCCTCTTTGCCTCAGCCTGCCAAACAAGTATCTCTTCAAATTGGAGAAGGCCATGCTGCATCTTTAGCCTCCAGGCTGAACGATCAGAGGTCAAGGTTTCCTAGTCGTTAATGTCCATTCCCAAGACCTTTAGATCCCTCTTGCAAATATCCTTATATCGCAGCTGTGGTCTCCCTCTAAGGTGCTTTCCCTGCACTAATTCTCCATACAAGAGATCTTTCGGAATTCAACCATCAGCCATTCTCACGACATGCCCAAGCCAGCGTAGACGTTGCTGTTTCAATAGTGTATACATGCTAGAAATTCTAGCATGTTCCAAGACTGCGCAATTTGGAACTTTGTCATGCCAGGTAATGCCAAGAATACATCAGAAACAGCTTATATGAAAGGTGTTCAACTTTCTCTCCTGCCATGCATAAAGGGTCCAAGACTCACTGCAGTACAAGAGTGTGCTCAGGACGCAGGCTCTATAGACCTGGATCTTTGTATCCATCTTTGGATGGATAGATGGATTGATGGATAGATGGATAGATGGATAGATGGATTGATGGATAGATAGATGGATAGATAGATAGATAGATAGATAGATAGCTAGATAGATAGATAGATAGATAGATAGATAGATAGATAGATAGATAGATAGATAGATAGATAGATAGGGACACAGGCAGGCAGACAGGCAGACAGACAGACTAAATGGTTGTTTTAGACATATAAATGTCTTCCTGGACCTTATCAAGAAATACCACAATGTATCTATGAAGAGAAAATCCACTAATAAGTCTTATTAGCAGGAGGCCAGTAGTGATAAGGAAAATGTATTAAGCAGCCAAATCAGTTTGAGATATTGGAGAGCTACAAAGCAAACTTGTCTCCTTTTGTTTTCACTCAGTTTGTTGCCCTATCCCTGAACCCTCATCTTGCATTATAAAGGAGAATGTATGTGAGCTATGCCTTTCTTGCTGTCCGGATATCTGAAAGAGAGAAGCAGCCAGGAAACCTCAGCAACAAAGGAGGAACTTCAGCAACAAAGGAGGAGAAACAGTGCCAAGGGGCTTCGCTGCTCAGAGTGGGTGGTCTGGGTTCAGACCTAGACAGATACTGGCACTAACTCAAGTAATTAGTGATCAATGTTATTTGTACACTGCTGCTTTTGCAATGACACAATATTGGAAAAATTAAACTTATCGCCACCACTGCCACCCTCCTTTTTTTTTTTTTAATGTGGGAGAGGAATACTTCACAGAATGTCTGTATAGGGTATTCGCAGATGACCTACAAGAAATGTAAACATTAACTACTGCATTGAGGTCTATGCCAAAAAAAGCAGTACATTTTTTGGGAAGCAGGTTTGTTATTCATAAGATCAACAGCACAATAATTGTGAAACCGGACCAGCCCACTCACTCATCCCTCTTCCAAACCAATCCAGTGTAGTAGTGTTATAATCCAGGTTATACTTAAACTGCTTTCCAAATCCTTCCTATTCCCTGACCATCATGTTGTTTTCTTGTTTTATTGAAATCTGGCATGTTTCTAACTGGGCTCAAGGTTTTGTGCAAAGAGTCAGAGTACTCACTTCGAGCATGGTGTCTATGCCTTATTTGTTGATTTGAAGAGACTTGCTGTACTAGGACATAATCCACATTCAAATAGACTGAGCTATTCAGCACAGCTCTCCGCTCTCATTCCCTTATTCCTCAGGATGCACCTTTGCTACTTAATCAGTAAGTACTGAATTGCTCTATGACTCCGCTTCTTAATTCACTATTTAAGATCTTTCCCTTTCCCTTGCTGATTTGGAAATGGAACAAAGCTGCCTAGTTGCCATTCCCAAGCTGCATCAAGATCCAATAGTAAAGAAGGGGCCAGCTTGACAGTTGTATTGAACGATGTGCGGCTTGTTTCTTGGCTGTGCCCAAGCAAAAGTAGGAAACGTAGCAAAAATGTTCCCACAAGGCCTATTGTTGACTCCTAGCACGCGCTACCAGCAGTGACAGTAAAGCCATCCATTTGGCAGAACTGGAAAGCACATATTCCTTCAGACCTCACTTCCAGACAAATTCACGGACAGCACAGCAAATTGTAAATACACAAATGTGATTAGTTCTTTGGCACAGTTATTACAGGAAAGGGGAGCATTCAACCAAACACTGTACTTTGGCACTTTTGTCTTTAAAATCCTCCAAGCATACAGAACCCGAATCCTATTCATGGGAACCTAGTAATTGTTACATATTGCATCAATGTGCACCACGAAGTGTACGAGGCCATGAATGAAGAAAATAAACTGCCTGTTATAATCTCAGGACTTATTCCCACATTAATAAAAGTTTCCTTCTAATCGGCTGTGCCATCCAAATGCACCAAAGCAATTCTTCAGTTGCTATACATCCAAATAAACTGCTGGTGATAGGGTACTAAATCAAGAATCTGAACTCTGATGGAACATAAAAATCCCAGTTTCAATATAACATCAATTTAATCCCCTTGTCTTAAGGGCAATAAAGGTTTATTAATTTGCTAGAATGTATGCAAGATCACTCTGGATTTATCTATAGTCTGCATTGCCAGTATTTTTTTTTATAATCCTAAATTTTTGCTTTAGTATCAGATTCCCCCAATCCGCCTAAAAGTATTAATGTGCACAATCACATACTACATGTGAGCTTTATGAATGTGCTCTGTAATTAAACCAGGACAGAATTTTTATGGGTTGTGTTAATCACACAAAATATACCCTACCAGAGAAAATATCTCAATTCTCCCTCATGCTAAGTGATTTTTTTTACATGTGTAAGAATTACATTAATTATATGCATACATACACTAACCTTTACTGTGTCCAAAGGATGTCCCACAATAACACCTGCAGCTCCTGAAATTTAAAATAACAATTAAATAGTTTCATGGAAAAGAAAACAACAAAAGAACATTTTTCTATTCACTCCCAGCATTTGTGTCACCATAATAATCACAATTCTTCCTTGTTCAGCTCCCACTGTCAGAATTATGTGACCAATGAAACAATGAGAACCATAGTTGGCCGGTAGAGAAGCACATAGGAGCTACTGCAAGTCAGCCCCCAAGCAGTATTTATTATTTATTAATTATTAATTCAATTTGTATGCCGCCTCTGTCCGAAGACTCAGGGCGGCTCACAATGCATTTAAAATCATTATAGTAGTTTCCACCTAAGTTCTAAGAAATATGAAAGAAGGAAAAGTTGTTATTGTGGGGGGACAGGTGGCTCTTAAGACCTGTTCTTAGGAAACGTGTGAGTTTGTTTCTTTTTATGTTGTCTCTATGATTCTGCTTACCAGAAATATATTTTATATATCTATATTCCAGAGAGTTCAACAATACAGTGTCTGTAACCAGATTCAGAAACTTTGCCACAAAGCATTACTTTAAGAAGAAATTGCAACTCTGCTACTCAAAATGATTTGAAAATTAAACAAAATTAGATGCTGACTTCAGCTACCCAACTTTGGAACAAGGAGGAAGATTATTTTCATTGATTCTTTCTTCCACTTGCAACATTCTCTGCCACTTCCAGTGCTCATTTGGAGAGTCACTCCTACGTTCAGGGACAAATGGCCAATTTCAATTCACTGCAGGAAGGTTCCCTAAATAAAATTTCCATTGTTTAATTTAACTCATTGTTCTTTAAATTTTCTTTTCTTGGATTCATGATTCAGGTAATTTTCTGGATAATGTTTAATCTTTTAGTAAGCTTTAGAAATGACTACCCATAATTTTAATTAAAAAATCTAACTGGTTTATTTAGCTTTTCCTAATCTGATCCATAACAATGTATTACTTTTTCGTATGGGAACATAGTATGTTTATTGTATAAAGGATAACCCTCAAGGTAGACACATTTCTATCATAAGGTGTATTCTGTAAAGGAGAGGTTTATTTCTGGCTATATGAATAAATGACATTTTCTGTTAATGACTGATCAGTGTAACTGTTGCCATCTATACTGGAAAGGTGATAGGTCATTTACATTTTCCAAAGCATTCATTCCACAGCATTTTACCGCTTGACAGTATTAAGAAATGTGACCTGTCTAGATTGACAGATTGTTTGGTTACAGATGTTTCATTAGTCAACTAGGTAAGATCATCAGTGCTTGTGAATATGGGACTTGCTTCCTATTTAAATACAGTAAGTTGCCTAGCCAGCATTGGTGATGGTGTAGTTTTCTCTGTCGTGGTTCATTGATTAGAATATTGTATTTTCCTTGATTGTTTGTCTGGATAATCTGTGCTTGGTGGCTGATTTGTCTGAATGATGTGCTTCCAGGATTTCCCTAGCAACAATCTAGAATACCAGAAAAAGGAAACAGGCCAGCTATACAACATCTTCCAACAAAATGGGCAGCACACAACTTTATCAGAAAGTTCCTGACCACTCTACCCTGGCAGTTAAGAAGCAAAAAAGAAAATTGTCTTCTAAAACTGAAGCACAACTAACTATAGCACAACTAACACGAGCTATGAAAAAGGTAACACTGCCACACGTTAATCCAACTACAATCCTATAAAACATATTAAGTAAGTCAGAAGATCTAGTAGCCCAAGAAATAAAAACAGGAGTCATGTACCACATACAATATAAGGACTTTAACAACCACTGCATAGGACAGACAGGCAGAAGACTAGCAGAGCACATCAATGCACATCAACTAGCAATCAAAAGACACAATGAAAACTGCTTAATCTCACAACACATGGATAGACCCAACCATAATTTCAGCTGGGAAACTGTGAGTATCCTAAACAAAGTTAACTGCAAAAATGCTAGAGAATACCTGGAAGCTTGACATTCAGACAAATCAACGATCAATAAACATAGAGAAAATCCACACTTACACACCATTCAAAACAGACAATAAACAGCTAAGAAGGAAACAGACCACAATAGATTCTCTCCAACAACTAACACCCAGATAAGCAGAGACTAACAACAGACTGGTTATTATGCCTGTATCTACTGTATATGTATTTTAACACTGTGTGGGATCTCCAAACTTGGCAACTTTAAGACTGGCTGAGGAATTCTGGGAATTGAAGTCCACAAGTCTTAAAGTCATCAGGTTTGGAGACTCTTGGTCTAATGGAAAGGCATGGTAATCTGCTGTCTGGTCTGATTGCCCTGCAAGAATGTTGACAAAGTATTTTAGAGTAGACAATATTGTCTTAAAGCAGCTTAAAGTTAAACCAGCATGAATACAGATCAGGAGCAGTTGAGACTGCTGTGTATAATATAGCTTGAATTTGAAAATGCAAAGATTATTTTCTTCTTCCTCCCAAAAGCAAAAAAGCCTTTCAATCCCTACTTTCCATACTTATGGGTGAACATGGGGAATCTGCTTAATGAATAGAAAAATAGTATTTTTTCATTGCTAAAATTATTACACTCCAGATTTCTGTCCCAATTATCTTCTATACTCACTGCAGTCAAACCTAAGTATATTCTGAATATTTCTGCTAGAAACTCTACACAAATTGCAACCAAAGGCAACTGGCAATTTTTTAAAAATTGTGTTACCAGGACTGTTAAATAATGAGGTATAATGTTTGCTATCGTGAAGCCACAAGCCATTTGCATTGGTTATTTAAATTGCACTGACAAGCTCTTAATGTCAGACTTTATAAAGAGCATAAATTACTATTACCAATAAAATTACTGGTAAATTATTATTACTATTACTGGTAAATTATTATTACCAGTATTAGTTTAAAAAGCAAAGGATAACCAGTGACACCAAGCATGTTCGACAAGATACAATAATTCCCAGGTGAAAAAATTAAGAGAGAATCAAATGAACATGACCATATATTTTTATATATAAACTTTATTCAAGCACATGTGTTAATAACTGTCTCTCCCTCCAGAGTTATTTTATTAAGGGAGAAAGTTCATCAAGTAATGGAAACTATGCAGAGACTTATTTATCATGTCACCATGTACAACTCTACTTTTTACATATACACCATTGAAACGCGACGTCCTGTTTGACGTTACGATGAGAATGGATGCGAGGAGCGAGGCTCCATGAAATCACGCCAAATCCTCCTCGTTGGAGGGGCCCCCAAGGAGCTAAAGTCACCCTGTATGGGTGACGAAGAAAGGAGGGGCACCCTGCATCTATGGGCCAGCAAAAGATGTTGCATCGGGCGGAGATGAGTGGATTTCAAAAAGAAATGGTGTTGATGCTTCAAAGTACTTATGATATCTTGATAAATAACCACAGGGAGATAAAAGACTTAATGCATGACATTGTGGGGAAATCAGAAAATGTTCAACAAGGGACAATGAATAAAGATCATAAAACACAGGAAGTAGAGGAGATAATAGAAAGACCAGAGGAAGACCAGAGGAAAAGACAGAACAGATAAATCGCATTGTAACGCATTGTAAGCCGCCCTGAGTCTCCAGAGAAGGGCAGCATATAAATCAATTTTTTTTAAAAAAATCAACCAATAAAACAGGAAGAGAAGAAGGAGAAGACAATAAAGACTTATGAATCAAATAAGAGACAATATATATTAAGAGATCAAAAAATGGGATTAGATAAAAAGAAAGATGGTTTTGAAGAGAAGATAGGGGCTTGGGCAGAACCTCCAGAGGTACAGCAACAAGAGATAGTAGAGATGGAGAAATATTTGGGCTAAATAGGAAAGATGTAGACAGAGACAAAGACCCAAGGGAGGAGTTTGGGAGGCAAGTCAAAAAACGAGTAAGAATTGAAATACTAAAGCAGGCAAGAGATGATGGTTAGAAAGGGAATGCTGTTTAATATAAGATTGGCTTTATTGAGAGCTAGAATAGAGGTAGAAACAAGAACAATACTATACATATATTTATATAATATACTAAAAGTAATAGCTAGATGTAAAGATTAGATGTTGAAAAATGGTATCACTATGTATGTTTAAATATTGTGATTGTTATTAGAATGGCACACAAAAACACTGAACAACTAAACAATGAAGGAACACACTCTAATACAAATATGTATAATAATACCACAATTACATAAGTATGATTAATGTAACAAATATTAATATTACTATATACTTTAATATTAAGATAGATAGATAGATAGATAGATAGATAGATAGATAGATAGATAGATAGATAGATAGATAGATTCTCAATATATAACTCAATATACTCCATGGATGATCCCAATGTATAATTCTGAGTTGAAGAAAAGAAATATGCAGACATTCAGAAACATAGTAGTTAGTCAGGACTAAAATTAGGATAGTTAACTTCCTAGAAAATAGAAGCTCAGGAAAAAAATGGAATCACTTGACTAGACCATAATATTAAAACCAAGGCTAAATAACAGAAATGCAGATATTATAAAAGACTGCTATATCTCAGCAAGGTGTATAGATAGTAATAGATAATTTTAACTTAACATTAGAGGTAGTCCTTGTTTAGTGACCAGCAACTCAGTTCTTAACCAAAGCAGTCACTAAATGAAACTGCAACTGTGTTTATGATCTTACTTAACTTTCCTTTGCTTTACCAATCTGTAAAGGTCATAAATTCAAGGACTGGTCATAAAGTTACCCATGCCTCCTATTTCTAAATGTAGTAAATGGGAATTTTAATTCACATTTAGGCACCAAGAGTACTGGCATTATGACCATCCCAGTGAAATAATGGGATTTTCCATCCCATGGATGCTGCTCCATTTGAGCACTCTGCAAATTACCTTTAATTGTTCCATATGTGTATGGATCTAATTACACAAAAATCTACCCTGAATCACTGATAACAGAAAAGGATGTGTATAACTGAAAAAATAGAAATGATTTCCAAATTACAATTTAGGAGTGTGTCATATTTCTCAACCCGCACCACCGTGGAATATTAAATGCTTTATTGAATATGAAATTGAAGACATCAATATAAAGTGGAGGAGTAGAACTTCACATTCCCCATGGAATCTAGTGTTGCAAGTAGTCTAATTTGTTTGGAAAAGTTCATATATTGAAACTAAACTAAAAGTATAAAGGAAAGGTATTAAAAATTGACTATAAACAAGTTTAACTTGTCAGAATCACCCGGGATATATCTTACCATGCATCATGGTGAAACATCTTTACAAGATGGATTTCCAAACTGAAAATGCCTTAATCATGGCATGCTATCTTGTAGTATTATTTTTTGAATTAACTGTCCTATTAATACTTTGAGTATATTATATGTTAAGATCAAAAATTATAAACCCAAGATGCAGAGTCTATTCGAGAAAGAAGAGGCAGTAAAAGAGCAAAATTTGAAAGGGGTAAGGATGGATTGTAGTGGAAATGCCAGAATACTTGTGCATGTTGAAAAGCACATGAATGATGTCAAACCATTGCATCTGCCATATTTAGATCTTTAGGCAGATGCGGTCTTCTTCACTAAAGCCTTTTGTGACCTTCAGACCTGCTGTATGATTTATAAATAAACAACTTATCTTTTTCAGTTATGTAATAATTATGATATAACTTGGGAATTTAGGAACTATCACCTCCTATACAGTATTTGCCGCTTACTACTTGCATTTATAACCTTAACTCTGAAGGAATGTACTACATAATAGATGAGTATATGGCTGGGAGATCATATAATGAGTATATAAATGCCTTGTAATTCTTCCTTCAACACAGACCTGAACTACAGAAGATGAACTGCGATTGCCAAGTGATCACTCTGTTGTCATTCTCCAAGAGTTATGGAGTTTAGAGTATTTGAATCCATAAGAGCATTAGATTGTCAATAAGTTGGGGACCGGTAGTGAAATAGATAGACAATGTTGGTATTTTTCCACATTTTCTTATCTTGATCTCTAGTCAAACCAACAGTTAATGGAAGGAGTGGCTGTACGGAGGTTTCTGACTGGCCAATATTAGACCAGCTGTCTAAACATCAGGATCTGACTCCACAACACAATTAATTAGGAGATCTCTATTGAATCTTTATTAGAGACACGAGTAAAATGGGGAAGGAACCTGAGTAATTTTCCATTAAACTTAATCCTGCTTGTGTTTTCCTCTCCTGAACCAACTGTGATTTATGGATCTAGTACCTTTGAAAGATCACAGGACTGAATGTTCATAACAAGCAATTACTGCTTAATTCAGATGTTTTCTTCAGTAATTGGGTAAATTATACTCACGGAACCATACAAATGGCTGAGAAATACACTGAACTCTATGTGTGCAAACTGTTAAATTCAGAATTCTTCAACATTCAACTAAATCTGTGCCCCCTTTTAATGCTTCTTTGTTGTATTTTCACATTATTCCCACATGAATTACTTACCTCCTACCCATCCAGCTATAAAATCATCCAACTGAAAGCTGCCCGTTTTACCATATCTTAAGCAGTCCTGTTCATTTTTAGTCTTGGGTGATGTGGTTACATTCATCTCCTTCAGCACCAGGCAAGTAACAGAAGAGAGTCTCAATGTCCCTCTTTTAAGCCTGTTTTTTTTTTTATCCTATTAGGACTGCAGAGCAGTGGTTCCTTTGACAACTTTCAACAGGCTCAGAACTCAAACAACTCGATTCCAGTCTCTGTGTCTCTTCCCTGCAAAAGTGCCTTCAAAGCACAAAGTGACCTCATAGTCACAAAGCTTAAAGGGACAGTACAATAAGAACCACAGGTTCCAGAAGTCACTCTAGGATGTTACTAATTAAAGGCAAATAGCTAATCTATGGTCAACATAGAAAATAATGAACTTTTTATGTCTTGTATATTTGGTTTTGTAACCAAACCAAACCAAACTAAAATTGTATATGTGGAAACTAAATTGTTCCGAGTGAAAACATCCAAGTGACTACGGTATTTCGGAAGAATGGCAATGAAAAAATATTATAACCTAAAAGTTTTATGATACTCCTCCCTGGAGGATGAATTTACAATGGATGAAATAGAACTGCATTTGTCCAGTGATGGAACAGCATCTGGTATTGGAAAAGAGTGAGCCTGCATTCTTTAAAACTGTTCTGTTGAATTGAGGATCTTTTAAAGCAGATTTTGAGAATCATCAAGAAGCTGAAAAGATAGGAGGAAAAAAAGATGAAAAGAAGATTTCTTGGGTAATGGAAGGTGTAGGCAAAAACATTGAGAAGATGTGCTATTTTGATAGTATTTTCATAGGAATTGAAGGAAAAAAAGCCGTATCAAGACAAATTGGGTTAAATAATAATGGATTCATTTGTTTTCTTAGCTCTCCATGGTACTCTCAGGAGTTTTCTCTAATATCAAAGTTCAAATGTTTCTCTAATGCCAAAGTTCAAAAACAGGAATAATCTTTCTGACCTGCTTCCATAGACTGTCACAGGGAAAACGATGTTGGTGTCATTCTGATTTTTGTAGGTATAGCCACATTTTTGGCAACTGAATAACTTTTCCCAGAATTTCATTGGTGCTGAATCAAATGCTTGTCTATGTCCTATTTCTTGATTGTTGGTTCCTTTACCATTGATAGCTGATCGTCAAAGGCAGAAGATACCCACTACTTCAGTATTTTCATTGTCAAAAGTTATATCTAGATTACCATCATATATGACATACTTCATTATAAAACTGGGGTCTGAACTTTGCTCTATCCTCCCCTTTCACCAAGTTTACAGTCTTACGGGTTGTAAACTTGTAAACTGAAGATTTGTGTTTCCTTGCTGTTGGTGCTGCTGATTTTTATACATATAAACTGGTTACAGGATTATTTGGTCTGAAGAGTTGAATCAAATCCTTTAATGAAAATCAAAGTGAAAAAGTTAATCATGCTTTAAGTCCCGTTATATTTTGTGCAGCTGAGTTTAATGACATTTGCATCCAGCTCACTCACTTTAATGCAACATATTCTTCCATGCTCCTGAGTTGGAGTCCTGCTGTAAAGGAAGTTGATTTTAAACTGATAGGCAAATATAGTATATACGTATCAGAAGGTATATGTATATTAATGCCATTGAGCTTTTTAATTATTATCCCCATATTTTAATTTTTATAAATGTATAGAATTTATAATACTTTTAAATTACTAGAGTTCTATGTGAGATTTTGCGTGAAAGCCCATTAATACCGATAGTCTTCAAGTTAAGACCATTTGTTTAAGCAACCATTCAAAGGAATGACCATTTATTTAGACTGCTGAAAAAAGTGACTTATGAGTGCTCCTCGCATGTATGATCATTGCAGCATCTTTACAGTCATGTGATCACAATCCAGACCCCCTGTCAATCAGCTTGAATTTACAACAATCCTGCAGTCACACAATCCTCATTTCTGACTGTTTTAGCTGGTTTCTGACAAGCAGAGTCTATAGGGAAGCTGGCAAGGAAGGTCATAAGTCACATAATGTCTCACTTAACGACCTTAGCTATCTGCTTAACACAACAGAAACAGTGACAAAATTGGGTATATTCATGTAATATCACACCTAATGACCGAACCACTTACTATTTCCAATCTCAATTGTGGTTGTGAGTCAAGGAGTACCTGTAGCTTCTTTGTCTGTTTCCATAATAATGTAACATGACATTTTCAGACGTTTTAGCTGTATTGGTTACATGTTTATGAGCCATGATGGCGCAGTGGTTAGAGTGCAGTACTGCAGGCTACTTCTGCTGACTGCCAGCTGACTCAGTTTGGCAGTTCAAATCTCACCAGGCTCAAGGTTGAGTCAGCCTTCCATCCTTCTGAGTTCGGTAAAATGAGGATTGTTGGGGGAAATATGCTGACTCTGTAAACTGTTTAGAGAGGGCTGTAAAGCACTGTAAATAAGGCTAAGTGCTATTGGTATGTTTAATAATTTTTCCAGCTCCTCAATATGTGCATTGTAGCCAGGCTGAGATGAAACAGCATTAAATTGTTTTGTGACACATAAAAGCTTGTACATCACTACACATGCCTAGTCTCTGGACCTCAGCTGTTCCTTTTCTTCTGTTTTACCCTAAGCCATTACTTTAAATACTAACACTTCTAGAACTGCTCAGATAGGCATTCACATTATATAGCTTCATGGAGAAGAGAACTTTCCTTTTTATTCCTGTATTCAGCTCCCTCCTTTTGTTCCAAGATGTGACCGAGACTTATAATTGCAAAATTTGTATGCAAATGTCATGTATGCATGTTCTACACTCCTCTGTTTCTCAGTCACAATTACTTCGAATAGATTCAAATGCGGGCCCATTGTTCATCTTCAGAGGGTTATCCTGCATGATTAATTTGATTTGGGATCATGTTACTAACAGCTCTACAATTGTTGTCAGATTTGTTCCTGGGTATCTTCCACTATTGTTACTATTTCTGCTAATTTTTCTTTCACATCAGAATTGACCCTTAATACAGAAAGGGATGTGGTGGCTCAGTGGTTAAGATGCTGAGCTTGTCGATCAAAAGATCGGCAGTTCAGTGGTTTGAATACCTAGTGCCGCGTAATGAGGTGAGCTCCCATTACTTGTTCCAGCTTCTGCCAACCTAGCAGTTCGAAAACACGTAAGAAATGCAAGTAGAAAAATAGGGACCACCTTTGGTGGGAAGGTAACAGCGTTCCATGCGCCTTTGGCATTTAGTCATGCCTGCCACATGACCACAGAGACGTCTTCGGATAGCGCTGGCTCTTCGGCTTTGAAACAGAGATGAGCACCGCCCCCTAGAGTCAGAACAATTAGCACATATGTGTGAGGGGAACCTTTACCTTTACCTTTACAGAAAGAGAATATGAAATAAATGAATAGCACAGAAAGTAAATAGATAGAAATATTTGAAGACAGATTCCTAAAGATCTAAACCACTGGGTGTTCTGTGAGTAATAATAACTCTTGTCTGAATGCTGAGAATTGGAAAAGCAATCTCAACATTTTGAAATATAAAGTAACTCTGTGTGCGTGTGTGTGTGTGTAAAACAGCATAATTAGCATTGTTGATGTGTGTCTATCTATAATTACATTCTTTGACTTATGACTATAATTGAGCTCGGAATTACACTTGTAAGACATACCAATCATTAAGCAGGCTACCTTGTGTCCTGTGCCCAATTTTATGCCCTTTTTGCATGTTTCTTTGCCAAATACTGTGGTCATTAAGCAAACCCATCTTGTCCAATACACACTTTTTTTTTTTACTGGAAACTGGAAATAATTTTTACAAATAAAAATTGTAAATTGAGGTCATGTGACTGCTGGATACTGCAAATGACTGTCAATGTGGGCTGGTTGCCAAGCATCCAAAATGTGATAATGTGTCTGCAGGAGGGAGGTGTCGGTCATCAGGATTTTGAAATTGTATCATAAATAGCTCTGGCAATGTCTGTCACAATTTCAAAAGGTCAATAAATCATAATGGTCATAACACTATCTATCTATCTATCTATCTATCTATCTATCTATCTATCTATCTATCTATTCATTCATTCCAGACAGATGCTAAAAAATGAGACATACATAAAAAATGAGCTATAACAACCTGTACTAAATTTATACTAAAAAATCAGATATAACAATCTGCATAATTTTCACAAAAGTCAAAATACCTATCTTTTTGGAGAGAATGTGTATCTCTCTTTTCCAATCTAAACATTTGATACCTCACTGTGGCCAAAGTATGTGCATACAGAATCCAGAGAGTTCTAAAATAATACTGTACTTTGAATGAAAGAGGGAAGTGCCTCATGGACTTACAGTAAGTAACCAACCTATCAGAACTGTCATTCTTCATGGTTATTCTTTACCATTCTATCATGGAATCTGACACTAAGTTGCCAGATAAGACACTAAGAGGGAGGGGTTCTTTCCCAAGGAGCTAAGAGACAAATCAGCCTTGAGCCCTTAGTATACAGAAAAAGGCTTGAAGGATTCTTCCTAAACCTTCACAGGATATATCTGATAGTTATGCAGAGTGTACTTTAGTCTGGCAAGGTCTTCTCTATGTGCGAGTAGCAATAGGCCAGCTATTCATGCAATTCATCATGTCGTTCACAGCTCCTTGTGCCCGATGCATACAGATTCAGTGACATGTTAACAGGGATAATGAATTTCATAGCATGATCATCTCCATCATATACTTTTTCCCAAAGGTAACCTATTTCAGTCTGAAAGAATCATTAAACTAGAGATAATTCTTCTTTGCATAGGAAAGCCTTACCTGTGAGTAATTTAACATAATTATATAATTATGATTTTAACTATGATATTGAAACATCTACAGAAACAAAATACTTTTCAACCAATATACAAAAGCAGAGTATACGAAGTTAAAACAATTTAGTGTCTATTTTAGCTATTTTATTTTGGATAAAAGCAAGTGGTTAAAAATATAAGGTTTTTTTAATTGCAGCCACCTCCCAATATCTAGTTATTACTGTTGCTTTTAAACTGTTTCTGCTGTTCCCAGAGATTTCTAATTGCCATGCCCTAAATCTTTTGTGATATCTAACTCCAGGCAGAATATCATAAATAATCTTGTTTATGAGTTTATCAAGTTAATGATTTGATAACCATTTGGATCAGGCCTTATGGCACATATAGGGTTTTTTTAACCAATAGTAGTAGTATTCCCTTATTGTTCTTCAGTTGTATTTTGTAAGTGACTCAGTCTGTAGACTTCCTGGCCTAGATGTAGAA